TCTCTCTCTCTCTTTATCCGACATGCATTTTACGTCTCATTTTAGGTGTAAACGATGCAGCTAAAAAGTAAAAATTATAAACTTTCTAGTGCAAACCTCGTGTAAATTGACCGGGAAATTTAACGCGTACTACGCGTAGTCGGTTATTAAATCACGCGAGGTTAGCCGCTTCGAGAAGGTTGGAAGGTATCGAAAAAAGTGGCAAAGTTATTAAGGTGAGATGGGTGAGATCGTTATATAGACGTTATGTTGTGTTTCTGCAGTTGAACGGACACCGCGAGCGTAAATTGCGGGCAATAACAGGAACCGTATGTAGGACGCGACAATAAATAGCCGAACGCTCGCGATCGGCGTGCGTCACGATCAGCTGATCGCGAGTATCGCGAGTCGCGACACGAACGAACGTCCTTGCTTGCTCAGGATCGGGTGGGCCAGGGTGAACCATGGCGCGCAAGGACGCTTCCCCTTCGACCTTCGAACGACTGCAGGGCCTCATGGAGGACGAGATGGGACCGGGAAAGGTACGCGCGACGATTTTCTAACCTATGTACGCCGCGCTGCAGTCGGCCACGCGCTCGTGCTCGCTATATTTATCCCTCTCATTTTCCAGCTCATCACCTACGGGATCGCCAGCGCCGGCCTGTTCGCAGCCCTGTACAAAATTAGACCCGTGAGTAGAAACCGCGCTGCCCACCCGAGTCTACGCTCCCGCTCCACACCTGCCTAGCTCCGTCACCATGTGACTCCACGCGGACCCTCACGGTTCTATCTCTGGTTGCTTTCCAGTTCGCCAGGTTCAGGAAACCGTCCGACGTCCCGTTGCACTTCCTGCAAACGCGGGTCCCGCTCCAGGGCACCGTGCGGCGCGTAGAACCGAGCTCCGCTAGGGTTCTGCTGATGGTCGATCACCAGCCCTTGCTGCCCTTTCCCCACTTCAACGGCAGGGCTTACTTGCCCGTCAAGATCGGTGGCGTCGACATCACGGGCAACGGTAGGTTATATCGGGAAAGAGGTTGAAATAAAAAAAAAAAAGAATTTGCAGCTGCTCTCAAAAACGTGGATCAATCTTGCAGGCGTAAGTTGGCTGCAAACCGTGCTCAATGGAAAGCCCGTGACCTTCGTGCCTATAGTCAAAGAGAGGGAGTATTTGGAGTGCGTGGTTACGATGTCGCAGAAGGATCAAGTGAGAGAGACAGATTATTGCTCGTATCATTGAATAATTGTATCGTGCTCACACACGTCACGTCTTTTCACAAGCAGAATTCGTTAGAGGTCGGCGAGGAACTAGTCAAATTAGGCCTAGCTACGGTACATGAACCTTGGGTGAAGCTGAAGGACAAGCAAGTTCTAGCGTACAAGAAGTCCTTGGCAGACGCGCAGAAGTGGGCAGTACGTAGGAGAAACGGATATTGGCATTTTGTCAAACAGCCGACGGTACTGTGGAAGGCACAGATGTTCATGATCGACAAGATGAAATCACTGTTGCCCGCCATCGTAGTGAGACGGCTCGACCTGTAAGTGTGTTCGGCTTGTTTTAATAATTATAAACGACAGAATGTTTTGTATATTTTTTGACAGTTGTACAAAAGAGAGAATGTGCATATATTATGTACTTAAGAATTTTTTAAATAAAGTTTTCGTAAAAGTTATTTTCGTAATTTCGCCTCGTAAAGAAACAGTCGCGTTTAAAAAAAAAAAGTGAGTTTATCACTTTCTGCAGAGATATAAAACTAAGCCAATGTCGAATCTCTTGTCTTGGATGATGGAAAATTAATATATCGTTCGAAGTAAACGGGTGGAGCGTTTTCTGTGAAGTTTCAGATATTCACGCATGTGATAACTACCGAAAAGTCAATTTTATTTGTATAGTTGCCAAACTGTACAATTCGTATAATCGATTATCTTACATCTCGCACCTGACACCATATAACAAAGTTATTTATTTATAGTCGACCAACTTAACAAAAACACTTATGTCAGTCCTTTAACTACCTATATTATTATATATCATCGGGATTTGTTCACTCTCACTTTATGAAACTCCCTTACATGAATTATATTTTAATATCCACAGTTACAATTAATGGATATTATCCATATTTAGGAATAAAAAAAATGTAATATATAAAAAGACTTATAGAAAATTGCACGAACAAAGACATAAAATAACTTCGACTTTCTCCTAAGATTATCGCTTGTTTCCATTAAAAAAAAAATAAATCCATATTTTTATATCCACAGTTACAATTGCATGGATATTATCCGTACTACGAATTAAAAAAATGTAATATATAAAAACTTATGGAAAATTGCACGAACAAAGGTGCAAAATAACTTCGACTTTCATTCGAAGATAAGATTATCGCTTGTTGTCATTAAAAAAAAATTTGTGCTGTCAGCTAATTTCGGCATTTCATTCAGTTCAATGTAATCAAAGCTGCGAAAAAAAGAGTAACAAATTCTTTTCACAGCATATGGATTTTGATCCAAGTAGAATATAAAATATAAAAATTAGTCATATACTATATGAATGGAAAACGTATGATAAAATTTGCAAAATCGATCTTTCAACTTTATATCATATATACATTATAGTCGCCAACATATAACTTTCTTTTAAAAAGAGAAAAACAGGTTGAGGATGCATAGATAATCGTTTTACCCTCGTTTTTAGTCACTATAATAAAGCTGATAGGTTTTTCTAGTATATTTTTTGCATTCTTATCTCTGGAATGTATAAGTTGTTTATCATCAATAGTACAACTAGAAATGCAATTCTATATTTAAAAAATATGAAATCACATAAAAAAAAATTAGTGAAATCTATCAGCTTTATTGCAGTGACTAAAAACGAGGATAAAACAATTATCTATATATTCTCAACCTGTTTTTCTCTTTTAATGGAATGCCTGAAAAATATGAAGTGTACCGTTCAACAAGTGTGTTGGTGGTATCACAAATATATGATTCATTTACTTCGTTTAATTAAAAATCGTCTTTCGGACGGTTCGTTTTGATCCGCTTAGCTTTCTCGGATTGTGCTTCCTGCGCCGTTTGTTTTCCAGAAGCCTCTTTTTTGCTACTCTGTTCGGACTTTGGGGAACTTGATTTCGCAGCGCCAGCTGTTTTTGCGTTGTCCTTCTTGGCTTCGGCATTAGACGATTTAGTTTCCGGTTTCACGTTGCCGCCGCCTGTAGCAGTAGGTTTAGGAGCTGGAGATGGCTTCGGCGCAGCGGTCGGCTTAGGCGTGGTTGTTGTTGTAGGAGCGGCAGTTGGTTTTGGCGTTGTCTGGGAAGCTCTGGCCGACTCGACTGGTTTCGCGGAATCCGTTCCTCGTTTCACTCTTTCTGTCTTCACGTCTGAACCGGCATTCGACGGTGCCTTTTCACTCCTAGCGCGAGAAGACTGTTTCGCACTGTCAGCTAGATCAGGGAACGCCTCCTTCAACGGGATTCGGCTGAGATATTTCACCCACGGAGAGCCGAAATACACAAAGTCATTGTGTATGTGGGCTGCACTTACATGCTCGAATTTGCCATCGTCTGCATCAAGGATTTCAATAATGTTACCAGACGGATCTAATCTCATTAGCAAGCTTTTCTCCACCAAGTCCATTAAGGGCCCAGCGCCTTGGAATGATCCGATCGCGTGCAGAAGTCTCTCCGTATAAACATTGGGATAAATGTCGTGCAACAGTTTAAACGGCAATTCCATCGTCACGAACAATCGTACCAACATCTTACGCAAGTACGGATGTGGCGCGAGAGATTGGTCGAGTTGAGGACGCTCAGGGTCAATACCGATGATCAAACCGACGAGAAAACCACCGTGGCCATCGCTGTTAATATTGTCCGGTGAACCCGGTAGCCCATCAAGCAGAACCTCCTGCTGTCCGGCCTTCGGCCCTTTCAAATTATATTTCATAAGTCGTTTCGCTTGCGTTTCTGCCACAATTACGAAACTTTCGTCATCGCTTAACATGACCCCATTCGCGAATGCAAGATTTTCCATCAATACTTCGTTTTCCTTTTTAGCTGCGTTATAACGAATAAGCCTGTAATTCATACAATTTATGAATATATATTATACTATATATTAAGTATATTTTATGTTTTACATACTGTATACTGATATAAATATGTATAAATCTGTAATTAATATAATTTACGTTCCATATACACATATGTATACATATACAAAGTGTTCGGTACCAAATGGTAAAACGCTCGTGGCCAAGTAGAGCAGGCTAAATTGAGTTGAAAAGTCCTCTACCCTTTTGCAATAGTTTTCTCAATAATTTACAAGAAATGATTTACTAAAGATAGTCGAATAAGCGCGGTCCGCCGCCAAATGCAACCGTTCGGTGAAATGCAACCATCGCTCGACGTTGCTAGGCAAGCGGAAACTTATTAACTATAATAAACTGTAATAAACAAATCCTCGATTGTCGAGCACTGAACGATCGCATTTCGCCGCGCGATTTGACGGCCGTACCTATCGGCCCATTTGGCGATCTTTAGTAATTAATTTCTCGTAATCTATTGAAAAAATTGCAAAAAAAGGAACAGGATTTTTCGACTTAATTTAGTCTGTTCTTTTCCACAAACGCTTTGCTATTAGCTTATCGGACACCCTGTATATATGTATATATGCACACCTAAAGCATAAAACTACTTTTTTAAATTCTTTTTATTACCTTCCCGATGGATTCGATAGAAACATCATCATTATATCGTAAAGAGCAAAGTCTGTGCTGCTGACAGTCCAATAAAGATCTCCATTTTTCGCGACATCTACGCTGTTGGGTGTCCGCGAAAATTTTCCACCAATCGGTTTAGAAATGTTCACTATATTTTCATATTCTCCGGTTGCAACATTTACTTTGAAAATTCCGTAATAGGTGTCCACTACATATAAATTGCCTTTCTTGTCAAATCTCAATCCCAATGGCCTTCCACATTTGTGTTCTTGCCAAATGCCATCTGTTAAGTAAAAAAAGGTTATTAGTTTCGTTACTTTAATATAATTAATTGTATTAAATACACTAAAATTATTTATATTTGTTAATTATCAATATAATATTTAATTAAATTTCCTGATGTAAGATCTATTTTTTATACACACACTTTTTATAAAAAAAAAGAGAATGAGATAAAAAATATATATATATGAATAAAAGATAAGATATATGTATAAAAGATGATATAAGATTAAAGAATTTGGGAAATTGATGCTTCTCTGCAATAATGTTTAATTTAAAAATATTTAACCAGTCTTTTCATGTGTATATATGCAGATAAATAGAAAAATAACTGGAACGCAAATGTGACAAGTTCCTCCTTCTCCTGCTAATTGTAAGTGTAATTACGTGTTCATGTCACACACAAGCAATAGTAAATTTGCTGGTCATTTAAAATTTTCCTAAGATGTTAAGAAATATCAATGTATTTACATGCTAATATGCATATTTCTTGAACTAGTCTCTATAGTGCAATATTTTATCATTAAAATTTATTACTTTGTCGAATAATAATTATGTCGAATAAAGTAAAACATTTGTATTTATCTATATATTTTTTTATCGTATTTTTCTACATATGTGTAATTTTTTAATAATTCTTGATTTATAAAAAAAAAGTTAATTTTGTTATTTTTATGTAAGCATTATTATTTATATTCATATATTTGTAAATCAAATTTTATTTCTGCAGAAGCTAAGAAATATTGATTTCAGCGCTGAAAATTTATTTTTTACTCTGATTTATCATTTTTTTATAGAATTATAGATAAAAACTTTTTATAGGTAAATCAAGAGTTAAAGTTCAAGCGAAAAAAAATTTATTAATGAATACATAAGTGTTATTCTTCATGCATAAGTATATCTATACATTATACATGGTTTAGCGAAATTTAATATTTATAAAATCATGTCAGTCCTGATATCTTCTTATCTGTATCTATGTAATCGTTTTACGTTTATCTACATTCTATAGATTGATTATGATAAAAAAAATGTTGTTACCTAACCGTCACTTTCTTCAATTTCCGAATCCAAGTTTATGCTAAGTTCTCATAAAAATTTGCATTTTGTTTACGACGTGTCTGATAAATCTTGCGCAATTATATCCGACTGAGAAATTTCCTATTTACAGTTTTTTTTAGTCTACGACTCACCGCATTTCTCGCCGAACTTGACGATCGGCACTAAGCGATCCTCCTCGATCCTCAGGACATGACCGCCGTGGACGCCGGTGTAGAGCTGCCCGTTGTAGGAGTCGAAACCCTCCGGGCAATTGATCTTGCCTTCGAACAATCTCTGAACGCCATTTAGCCGCTTCTTCGGGCCCACCTTAGGATCAAGCTGGCGCGACGGAGTGATGCTGCAAGGTCGAAGGTCAAGAGCAAATGAATGCAGAGACGCAATAATAACGGGTTCTCGCGACTCTCGCTTTTTTTTCCTCCTCGATCGTCTAATACCTGTACTCCTTGAACTCCGTGTCCGGCGGTAGACCGGGTATGAACGTGATCAGGGCCAGGAACAGGCCGATGTAGATGAAGACGGTGCCGACCGACTTAAGGTAGCTCATCTCGCCGGTGCGCGCGGAGGAGGGGAGGGAGGACACCTCCTTGAAGCCTCGAAGTGCTTATGGATATCCGACACACCGAGAGACACTGTGCACGGTCGTACCAGCTTGTCTTCCACCTTCTCCCACGCGGATCTGTCGCGCGAGGATACGCGTCTCGCGGTGGAGTCTCGCTACGCTGGAAGATCTGATCTGACGTTGTCGCGGGCGGCGTACGTGCGGTGCGTCGCGTCGCGGCGGCGGTGAGCAGCGGTGACAGACACGGCGCCGGAGAGAAACGGGGACGCTGGCGACTGTCGTGCTGCCGCGTGCGGTTCGCGATTTAACTGTTCTCTCCGTGACACACGCGAATAACGGCACCCCGTACAAGTCCCGACTCGATGGCGTTCGCGAATCCGCCGCTTCTTCCGCGGTGCGTGACGGGACACGCGCGGCGCTCGTTTTCCAGCTCGCCGGCGAATACGAGGTCAGACGACGATCGCCACGCGTACGGGAAGAGCAGCCCAGCAATGTTGGGGCCCGTCGGAATCGCTGAAATTTTGCATCAACTCCCGCTCGACTCGACGACGAATCTTCGCCGAGTCACGGTGACTCGCGTTAACGTCCGCTCGCCCCTCGGATGGATCGGCCAATCGTGTATTCGCGTGCAATCTTTAGACTCGGCCCGCGCCGCGCCGTCGCCGATTAGCCGATTTCCTGCCGAGAACGCTCTTCACGGGGATTATGCAAATTCGTCCGAATATAAATTCCGAATAGACCACACAAAGGGTGATCGTCATTCATAGCCTTAGATCTTGCATTCAAAATCGTCTCTTTAAATCCGTTCATTAAGATCGTTTTATCAGTCGGTCTTAAGGCCCCCTTTATAAGACCAGATTTAAAATGATCTTAAATTCAGACTCGGAATATGAATACCGTTTCACGGTGCTTGACTCTTTTTTTTTGTCATCCGCGACTCTGGCCCCTTTCCCTTGACTTATCGAACTTATCTTCCCTCGAGCGTGCTCGCTGCCACGTGTTCGTTTGAATCTATGTTATTTGCGTGACCGGACTGTTTTTCTGATAAAGATACATGCACCTATATATTACTGCACACGTATAATGTACTATATATTTTAAAATTTATTACATAATGCATTTAATTTATTTCTACTATTATTTTCGCCGATGCAACGTCCGGAGTATCGCGCATGCGTGTTTTGCTGGCGGAGCAGCGCAGCCAACTTTACGCTCGACAACCTTGATTCCTCTATCCCGCTGCATTTGCACCTTTATCCCTTCTCTCCTTTTCCCTCCAATTTCCGATCTATCTTATTTTAAGTGCAGAAGGTGTAACAGCACAGCTATGATGAAATGTCCCTTTGATGGCGAAGGACGAATGTCAACATTGTCAACCGTATCTTTCAAACGTCCCTCGACGGTCTCGACTCTGTTGTCTTTTGTTGATTCCGATGCTGTAAACAATCTGATCTGATCTGATTCTCACGCTTCCAAGAGTTTTATGTACGTGCGCTCGTAAGAATCGACCCGAATTCGAATCTCGACGTGATGAATTTTACTGACAACTTTTTCTCTGAAAATCAACGAACGAAACAAAGCGGTTCTCTCTCTCTCTCTTTCTCTTTTTTGTTGACATTTCTCTTTTTTCTATTTATAGTTTCAAATTTTTATTATACAAAGCGTTTTATCATAATATACATTCAAAACACTTGATTATACATTTATTTCGAAGTGTTTCAATCATAGGCATTTATCTATAATAAATAAATGTCTATGATTTCAATACATTTTCAGCATGTATTCTGATCTGCTCCTATTTTTGTTTTCTAAACAGGCAGGAAGATTTCAGGGATGCGACATCGGATGTGAGAAAACCTAGCTGCTATGTTTCTAGAAACAGGTAAGTGCTCGCCACATCGAATTTCATTGTTGGAAACTCCCAAGCTGGGATATTCTTCTCAATGGAGATGGAATTACTTCAAACTGGAAACGTGTCTCGTACAACCCATAATCACGTCGTTTGCTCTGAATTACAGATGAGCTGGAGCAGCAGTGCGAAGATGCGGTGTTTGAGTTGTGCGACGCTCGGGAGAGGTATCCGCTGCAATGTGCGAGGGAGCTTGAAAGGTGCATCAAGCTCACCAACGAGATACACGTAAGTGACAGCCTCACAGCCGGAACTGTCAATCGTCATCTCGTTCTCCATTTAGCTCTGCATCTATTCGTCGGTGTGGTTCGTTACAGATGACGAAGGCTCCCCCGAAGCCGGCAAAAATTCTGGACGTGCCATCCTTCACGAACGAGCACTCGGCGATGCTTCAGAAGAATTTCTCGGAGGCCGCCGAACTGTTGAAGACGCAAGAGTGTAAATTGCAAGTGATGATAGACAAAATTGACAACTTGACGGCCACTTTGAAGCAGATCAAGGGAGACAAGTTGTGCGAAGTGAATAAACTGTTGTGGCATTAGATTAGATGCACTTTTTATCTCAACGTAATATCTATTCATCTCTCGCATTACACATGTATTGCTGTCTTAGAACATATATTTGTAGTATATGTTCTAAGATTGCTGTACATATCGTATATCCAATTGTGTAAGTATCTGAAATGCCTTCAAATCTATAGTAAAAAATTTGTATTATAAATTTTTAAGTTCAAAGCTTTGCACATTAAACGAAACAGAAGTTACATGTTGTAAAATATAGAATTATTAAGAATATGAACGAATTGAGTTTGAAACTTGTTTTGCTCCTTGGTATTGTTTCCTTGGCAACGGATCTGGCCTGGTGTCAAAACAATACGCGTGAATGCATGCTTGCGGCCACATGTTGTACCATGCAGTGTACTACACTATAAAGCAAGAAATAATACTAAATAGCTGTTAAAGTTTCGCAGTGCATTATTGTAATTTTCGCTATGTCTACGTTCATAGAAAATGTGCAGATAAAGGATGGAGAATATACTAAGATAATCTATGTTATGGTACTGAACTGTGCACATATATTATACACACACGTTTGAAATTTTCAATAAACCTAACTCGAAATTAATCAATAAGTCGGTTAAATGAAAAAAAAGAGGATGGCTTCGAAATATATTGCGTTATTGATCTTTTAACCTTCGAAGACGAAGAGGTGTGTTAAATTAAATACGATGTTGTGTTCCAGATCAGAGAACAGCGATATACCGAAACTATTAAAGTCTTGCTAAATCTCTTAGATTCTCATCCTAATGTACGTATGCTGCGACATAATATTGCATATTCCAGTTTGCGTTTAAACGTTTTACAATACCGAATGAAGCCTTCCCTTTCAGTCTAGACCTTGTCTATCCCTCCTGGGCCATTGTTACTTTTACACGCAAGATTTCATGGCCGCGGCTCAATGTTACGAGAAGCTGGTCCAGCTGTGCCCAGAGGAGAATCTGTACAAGCTCTACTACGCCCAGTCCCTGCATCAGGCCTGCATGTATCCAGAAGCGTGGGCGGTCTGCTCGAGCATCATCAATCAGAGTAACTTGGAGTTCAAGGTGAAGAAGCTGCAGGCAGCTATCAAGTACGGGCAGGAGGACATGGTGGCCGCGAAGAACCTCGTGGATCAGTGCCCCGCCGACGACGTCGACACTGAAATCAATCTCGGGTGTCTCTTGTACAAGGTACGGACGTCTGCAAGCAGGGTCCCCAGTCGATAGACGTACTATGCAATTACGATTTCTAGGAGGAGAAGTACGAGCAGGCCCTCAAGAAATTTGCGAACGCGTTACAAATTGCGGGATTCAGGCCTCACTTATCGTACAACGTTGCCCTGTGCTACTTCAAACTGAAAGAGTACGCGGCATCACTGAAACACATTGGTACAATTCTCATTATCGACTCTTATCTATGTGATTTTATAAATTTGTCGGCTCCTCGTTTTTCAATTGAATTTTTGATTGCGCCTCTCTCTCTGTCGAGCAGCTGCCATTATCGAGCACGGTATAAGAGAGCATCCGGAGCTGAGCGTGGGGATGGCCACCGAGGGTATCGAAGTCCGAAGCGTCGGGAACACGCTGACGCTGCACGAGACGGCTCTGACGGAGGCGTTCAATCTGAAGGCCGCCATCGAGTATCAATTGCAAAATTGTAATTTTCGCGTCGGCTCTGGCTTCGATCGATCGAGGAAGATTTATACGTTCTTTATAGCGTTCTTTAATATTACAGACGACGCGGCGAAGGAAGCGTTAACGGACATGCCACCGCGTTCCGAGGAGGAGCTCGATGCCGTTACTCTGCACAATCAGGCGTTAATAAACATGGACACGAAGCCGAGCGAGGGATTCGAGAAACTGCAGTTTCTGCTCCAGCAAAATCCGTTCCCGCCCGAGACCTTCGCCAATCTGTTGCTCCTGTACTGCAAGTATCAGTATTACGACCTCGCCGCCGACGTTCTGGCTGAAAATGTACATCTGACCTACAAATATCTGACGCCAGTAAGTTTGATTCTCGACCGGTCGTTTATTCGTTAAGACATCAAGTTTCGAACATTTTGAAAACATTATAGCCTTATTTTGCGCATTTTATACACAAGCCACATGCAATACAGGGATAACATCGAAACTAAGGTACATTTAGGAAAAAAAAAAAAAGATTTACGGTTGACAATTAATCTGGATGCTTGGTTTTCGAATGTTTGCATTTTTTCGTACGAGTTTCGTGATCTTCCGAGTGTTTCCGCTTGTGAGCCTTCGCGTCGCCGGACGACGAGCTGTCCGAGGAGTCGCTCGGGCTGCTGCTGTGTTTCTTCTTATGCTTCTTACGCTCCTTAGAGAATTTCTTCTTCTTCCTCTTGCTCTTCTCCTTGTCCTCGGTATCGCTGTCGTCGGTGGACTGTTTGCTCCTCTTAGATTTCCTCTTCTTCTTTTTTGATTTATGCTTCTTCTCCACTTTCTTCCCAGCACCTTCGCTGTCCGGTTCCGGGACACTCTCCTCTACCTCCGGGATCTCCGGGATCAGTTCGTACTTCTTGCCGTCGGGGGACATGAAGCAGTCCTTGGACAGGTGCCCTCTGGTCCCGCATTTACCGCACGTGGTGTTCAGCACCGCCTCCAGCTGTATGGCCTTACGCTGAGTCACCCCGGGATTCCTTCTCCGTTGCGCGTCCCTCTCCAGCTCCACGCCGTTGGGATCCAGATCCGTGCCGTTTCCCTGATTCACGTGTTTCATGGACAGCCCTACCTTGCCGTCCTCCATTGAGATCACCTTACACCAGACTCGCTCGCCCTTTTGCAGGACCTCTGCAACATTGTCGACATGAGCCGTGCTTACCTGACGGGAGGAATTGGAATAGAAATCAATGGATTACACTGCGGCAGCGATCACTAATCAGTATTTGTTGCTACGAGAGTCTAAATAAATACACACCTGTGTCCTGTGTATCAAGCCTTGCTGCGAGGTACCTGGTATTCTGACGAATGCTCCGTAATTCTGCACGGACGCGATTTCGCCTAGAAATATCTGATTCAGTTCGCACTTCGTCATCCTGCTTCAATCTCCCATCGAAGCGACTCCCGTACGCGACCGATGACGTTTTGGCAAGCGTAAGATCGATAGAGGAAAAAATTGCGCAGGTTAGGTTTCTATCAACAAATGCAGGACCGTAATGTCCGCGGCGCGTCCGTTACGGGTGTCAAGGGGACATTTTTTATTACTCATGAAGTTTTGATTAAAATTATTATAATTTAAGTTAATACACAGAATTTACAGTTAATTCACAGAACAATGCAATAAAAAGATGTGACATTGAAAACGTATTAATAATTGATATTTTTTTAAAAATAGAAATTATATATATATATTACTTTTAAAAGATTCTCAAAAAAATTTTAATTATGATTAATATTAAAATTTATAATTATTATTACAATTTTAATTAATATTAAAATTATCTTTGACATTTTTTCATAATCATATGTTATTTAATTTCACAAAAAAATATCTGGATAATAAATCATGAGATAAAACAGATACTAATAAGAGCAATAATAATTAAGTAATAATTAATAATTAAATAATTTTGCAAAAAGAAAGATTATTTTGAAAGAAAGATTCTGAATTTTTATGCAAATAATTTTGATTAAAGGATTGTATATATCCCTGATATATGCCTATATATGTAATATTTATTGGTTATATTATAATTATTTAAATTCATATTAATCTTCCAGTATTTATACGATTTCTTGGATGCGCTGATAACGCAACAGACCTCGCCGGAGGAGGCGTATCGCAAGTTCGACGATCTCGCTAACAAGCACACGGAGGCGCTTCGCAAGGCGACCAAGCAGGTCCAGGAGGCGAGGCTGAATCACGACGACAATGCCGTGAAGAAGGCCGTGAACGATTACGAGGAGGCCCTCGACAGATACGTTCCCGTATTAATGGCGCAGGCGAAGATCTACTGGGACCTGGAGAATTACACCCAGGTGGAGAAGATCTTCAAGAAGAGCGTCGAGTTCTGCAACGAGCACGACGTGTGGAAGCTGAACGTCGCGCACACGCTCTTCATGCAGGAGAACAAATTCAAGGACGCGACGCGTTTCTACGAGCCGATCGTCAAGAAGAAATACGACAACGTTAGTAATTGTGAAACATAAAAAAAATTTATTTCTCTTGTTCCTTTTTCTTTTTTTTTGTTGCAATCTGACGCCTGCAATACGTTCGCAGATCCTGGACGTGAGCGCCATAGTCCTCGCGAACCTCTGCGTCAGCTACATCATGACCTCGCAGAACGCCGAGGCCGAGGAGCTGATGAAGAAGATCGAGAAGGAGGAGGAGGCGGTGTCGTTCGAGGATCAGGACAAGAAGCTCTTTCACTTGTGCATCGTGAATCTGGTGATCGGGACGCTGTACTGCTCCAAGGGTAACTACGAGTTCGGCATATCGCGGGTGATGAAGAGCCTGGAGCCGTACAACAAGAAGCTCGGCACCGACACCTGGTTCTACGCGAAGAGGTGCTTCCTGTCGCTCCTGGAGCAGCTGGCGAAGCAGTTAGTGGTCCTGAAGGACTCCACGTTGCAGGAATGCGTTCAATTCTTGGAGCATTGCGAAGGTATACGCGGCCTCGATCGAGCTCTGACTTATTCGACGATTAACTTAAATGTGAAGTAATATCTGCAGTAACTTTGTTAACGAATGAAATTGTTGTTGTTTGATACACCGAAAAAAGTGATTATTGCAAATTTAGTAATTGTACTGATTGAATTAATCGTCGATTAAGTTAGCCAGAGTTTGGTTGGCCCTAGCGATCGACTTCAATATTTGCAAATTTTGAACGATAGACTTATACTTGTGCGTTTCTTTCTGGAATTTCAGTTTACGGCAAAGACATAATGACAGTGATAGACCAGCCGTTCGACATACAGGACATGCTGAACGTTTCACCTCAAGGCAAACGGACGGTCGTTTACGAGGCGCGATTCCTCAAGACGTTATTCTTGAAGCTGCAAATGTCGTAGATGCGTAAAGAAAGGCGCCTATTGTATATATATTTTATCTGATAGTATTTTGATTATTCTGATTAGCATGATACGTCGAATTTATATGGCCTGAACTTGTGAATCGCTTTTCAATCATCTTCAGGATCTGCTTGATAAACACGAGAATTTATATTGCCGAGATAGTCTTTATAACAGTATTTCGTCGAACAATTTTTTATTAGCTTCATAATATTAGTATAATTTATTAATTATATTGTAATTAACTTATAATACGAGATAATAATAAATTAATATATAATATTATATTATATTATATATTATATATATTATATTTTATATATTATATTACATATTATATTATATATTATATTTGTTATAATTTATCATTTCCTTCTCGCATCCTTGATCGTTTGCTCGATATAAAATTTTCCCCTTCAAATCTAGCGGGTGATCTCTTGATTTACTCGCACGTGACACGTCCGTGCGAAACGCGACCGTCGCGACACTCGGTCACGTTTCGATCTCGTCGTCTCCTCGGACCACGATGACTCTCTCGGGACTCGCGCCTGCTCCTCGCGCCCCTGCGCCGCGACTGCCGCGAGGGGACGAGAGAGTGTAGGCAGGTGTAGACTGTAGGTCCGAAAATCGTCGATCATCGTTGGTCATCGGTTTCTATCGCCGCGCGAGAATATATAAAGGAGGTACACGTGCCTGACTGACATACACTCATCACGGTGCACGCGGTCGTCGTGGGTGGGATCCGGCTCGGCTACGTCGGAGTCGCTGTCAAACTGTTGTTGGCCTGCCGTCGAAAGTTCTCGAAAATTCCATAGCGAACGCACGCTAGGTGAAACCGGAGCGATTTAATCGCATATACGTGCTTAAGGACACCGTACGCGTCACGTCAACGGTAGAGAGAGGGAGGAGGAGGTGATACGCGCAGCGCCTGCAATCTCTCGCGAGATCCTCGTAGCCTCTATTCATTTTGGCTGAGTCAAGGTACGTCGTTTTATTGCAAAATTTGCAGTGACAGTTGCACGATCGCCTCGCGTCTCTCGCTTCCACGTCGACGTTTAGCCACGCTGCTCGCATACAATAACATATGTATATACGTTTGGGCTTTTATGTTTTCGAATTTGCGATATCTTAAAATCCGAGGAAATGCTTCATTTGATTTTTTTTTTTTTTAAATCACGCTTGCTTAGGATTGAAATTTAGGTTTAAGATTGATTTTTTTTATCAGACTCCATTTTTTAATTCCATTTTCTATCACCAAAAGTAAAATCGCTAACTACAGATCAACAGAATATGCATCTTTGTTTTCAAAATAGGATATAATGTGTCATGGCTTATTCTGACTCTTGACGAATTGTTTTTGCAGATATTTAATAAGGGAGGAACACAAGGCGTAAAATTGGAATGGAATTTCCAAATATAGGAGAGCATTGCTCCGAGAGCACATGCAATCGCTTGGATTTTTTACCTCTCAAGTGCGACGCCTGCCAGGCAATCTTTTGCACGGATCATATAACTTATGCAAGTCATGGCTGCCCTAGCGCGTACAAGAAGGACGTGCAGGTGCCTGTGTGCCCGCTGTGCGACGTTCCTATACCGATAAAACGCGGCGATCTGCCCGACGTGGCCGTGGGGCTGCACATAGACAACGACTGCAGGGAGAGCCGTCGGAAGGTGTTCTCCAACAAGTGTTCCTCGAAGGGGTGCAAGGTCAAGGAGATGGTGCCGGTCAAGTGCGGCGAATGCGGTGCCAATTTTTGCCTGAAGCACCGACACCCCACCGATCACGCCTGCATCGGGGCGGAGGAGGCGTTGAGGCTGCGCCGACTGGAGGCGCTGAACAAGCGGGGTCAAACGACAATATCGCAGAGCAGCGGCAACAGCAATTCGCATCCCTTCCGTAGTCTTCAGGGGACGATGACCGAGGACGAGGCGTTGGCCCGAGCACTCCAGGCTTCCCTAGACGACGAGGAGCGTAGCAGACGTATGTTACAACCAGTGCCTTCTGGAAACCGAGATAGATGTAGACTTTCGTAACTATCTACACATTATTTTATATCGTAGAGAAAAAAGCTCCCTCTTTGTTTCCTGAAAATCCGTGGACATGAAGATACGATATTGTAATTCTTGAAGCTAGCGTCAGAATGTGCGCAGATTCGTGATTCGTGACTCACTAGTCTGCGAATAGTGCGAATAAGCAGATTCATCGAGCTCGCATTCGCTGCTTATCACTCGATTCGTATAGCATGTTTTCTAACGAAATTATAAAGTGCAAATCATCACAATCACGAATCAATCGATTTATACATAGAGAGTTGATTCATATATGAATATATTATTGATTATACAAACAATTGCGAATAGCGTACATTCTACCGCCAGCCTAAAGGACGCACACATTTGAAAACACATGCAACGGAAGTTACTTAAGTATTACATTTGTTGCCTCTATCCATTTTTGATCTGTTATGTATATTGTTATAGATATAACTGGCTGGTTATACCTATAACCCGTTGTTATGTTATATGCATAGAAACTGAAACGCGTTTATAAAAATTGCTCACGTAATTAAGCACACTATCGCTAAGCATCTTATGGGATTCCTAAGCAAAATTGTATATCAAAGCATCTTGTCCTAAAGAGAAGTTATTCGTCATTAAATAAGATTTTACGTTAAGTTGCAAGTACAAATTGTTCATAAATCGATATTTCCTTTATGTATCATAAATGTGCGGATTGTCATATATATATATATATATATTTCATTTAGATTATAAGCTCTCTGGCTTACAGCCAGGAAATATATTCTGCCGAAAATAAAACAATTCTATATAATATATTACATGACAAAAAGCTTCAGTATAGAGTGCCTTAGTAGACGAAGCATAATCTACATTAGAATATGCACTTACATAAAATCTTTTCACTTTAATAAAAAAAAAAAACAAGTTTCTTTAACTCACACTTTTTAATATTTGTAATCGACTTGCTGTAGAAACTGCTTTCGAACAGTGGCTACGCAGATTTTCATACGAAAAATACACACCTGTGGATTTAATTTTTATTTTCAACGGAATATTTTATATAAACATAAATTGTCTGATTAATTTATAAAAATATCGCGTATACAAAAAATTATAATTTATATATAATTTTATATCCATGGGATTTTAAGAAATAATATATAATGAACTACTGAGTTTTTAGTGCAATATCAAAAACTGTGATGGCAGGAAGAAATCTTATATACTATATGATATCTAGGTGTGTTCATATTATAAGCAAATTAAGTCTCAAAATAGAAATCATGTTTAAACATATCACAGTCACATCACAGGCTTCTTATATAAAAATTCCTCGAAATATATCACGAAAATGAATAAATAAATATATAGACTTTATACTCAAGATGCTTCATTGACAAAACTGATATTCATAAATTCTGTGATAACTATCATATTTTTATAAATATATATAATTTTACAATACACTCAGTTCCCCTTAATTTAATTAATTCTTTTGGAAATGTAGAATAAGCAAGCATTTTCTTTTTAGAAAAATGGAGAAGTTTCAATATGGATATTTATAAAAAGCATGGATTTTTAAAAATAATTACAATAAGCAGAGATATATTGACGAATATATCTACAATATGTACGAATGCATTGACAATTAATGAATATAGTCAATAGCAGATGTATGCTTTATATGCTTGCCATTACATACATATATTTACCAATAAATAATATGCTTTTAATATCAAAGACTCGAAAATAATACAATTCTTGATATGTAAATAAGAGAATACGCTTTTTACTACTTTGAAAGATTTGTTAGTACTGTTATATTATACTCGCCTACGAGATGTGTGATCAGAGCTACTGGAAAGTATAAAAAGAATTTGTCTTCTTGCAGTTATTATATTTTAGACAGAGGACCTCCTTATATATATATATATATATATATAAATAATTTTGTAATTTTATCTTATACCTTCTCTTAAAAGCTAATTTAAATCTGCAAAAATAGATTGCCTTCCAGTATTTCTGAAACGTTCGAAATATGTAAGAAAAAGGTGATTTATTATACATTCCTATATATACATACATCCACGTGCGTATCTTCTTATATAATTATTATGGTAATTTATATTTAATGGATTCTTTATATTTAATAGATATTATAAATAAATTTGGAATAGATAATAAAAGCAAGGAGATGACAGATAATTTCACAAATGTATATATACATTTACAAAAAAAGCTCATTTACTGATATTATAATTCATAATTTCTTTTTTATTCAGATGTGCTGTATAAAATTACATTCGAATAATTATGCGACCAAAAACATATAACTTTTCCAACAACTTTTTTTTAAATCTTACGAAATATGTATCGGATTAAAAAAATGTTCATATATATATATATACACATACAACCGATTTTTTCAATAAAGCGTTCGGTAATAGGAGGCAGTTCAATTTTCTTTTTTTTTTTTCACTGAAAATACTTTGAGGATTTCAGTTACTATTTAGGCACATTATATAGCTACGGGTATATCAAATTTTAAAGCAGTTTAAAAGTGAGTGAATAATTACAAGGAAGTAAATTCATCTTAGTGAACAATCTAAAATACTTAGCTTGTATATATTCGTTACATATTTATTACATATTAAATAAATTTATATTTAATCCTTTCAAAGAATTATTTTTCAGCAAATATAGTCCAATTATATATTTAAATTATTTGGACATTTGTATAATGATAATAGTAACTCAAAACTAAAAATACTTTTCATAATATAAGTATCTAACATGCTCACTGAGAATTACAAAACAAATCAGGATTAAATTTACATTTATTGCTTGATATTTATATATATTTTAATATATAATGTGATCAAAATGTATTATTCTAATGTTTCCATTGTATTTAGGTGTAAATTAACAGCATGACTTTTATTTGCACATACTGAGTATTCTTTGTTACACTAACAAATTTATGCTATTGGTATATCTACATTAGATGTGATGTATACCAAGTTCTGTACAAGAGAGAATCAAATATTACACACTGCGTTTCTCTGCGAAATCGAGATACATTCATAGATTTGGCACGAAGTAAAAATAAATTAACACAGAGATATCTCGTTTTACAGTACAAACGCTTCCTTTGAGATTACTCTGAGACGTGCACGAGACATTAAATATTCTGCTAATTTGACGTAGAAATTTGATTTCCTCCATTCGAGGTATCAAGTATATGGCTTTTGTAGAATAAAAAAAATATATAGCCATTTATTTACCAACTTTTCCTAATTTGGTGTCTGTTTTCGGATTAGCCGTTATATTTTGCACAGCGACTATCGTCTCGTTGATCTTCGTCTGGAGATTCCTGAGATCCTGTATGTACAGCAAGGAGAGGCCCTTCGCGGCGTTGTCCAACATCGCGTCGCCCATGTTAAAGCTGGGCCCTATCATCATCTTCGTCAGCGATTTACTCTTGGCGCTGTTCACGGCATTGTTGGGCTGCTGCTTAATCGCGTCCGCGCTCAGCTTGTTGCACACGAGTTTGCTGCACCCTTGCAGCGTTACTAGGTGATCAGAATGCTTCGGTACGTTCAGTAGCTTGGCTATCGAATTAACTCCGATCTTGAAAGCGTCGCTATCAACTGGAAGGAAAGAAATGAGAAACGTGAAATTTATAAGATATTTTCACGCATAACGCATCTCCACACTACCAAATATTGCACAGTGCAGAGCGCAAGATGTATACTCACAATTTAATTTATCTAGAGGATTCGTGGACTTGATACTAGGCACTATCACCTCCTTTTTATCTTTTGCCCTACTCCCCACGACCTGCTGATATTTCTGGCCTAACAAAATGAATTACATATTGACAATTATTAATATTTTATCACATTTTGATTAGGCAATTGAAGGTTATTCGAGCTCTTATGGACAAACTTGCGTCTGTTCTGAATGCCTTTTAAAGCTTTAATTCCGTAATTGCTTCCAACAAATCCTACTCACAGTCATCTCCGTACTCCAGCCAAATGGCGTATCCTAAGAACCATTCCAGCTGATCGATCTCGTTCTTGGCTATCGGGCACTTGACGTCGTTGCAATATTTCTCGAAAATGCTCGGCCAATTCGGGGTGGCAATGTCCCTCAACTGCTCACGTTCCTCTATGGGGTAATGACGTATCTTCTGATCCTCCAGCCATACAATCACCTTTCTGAAGTGTTGAGTATCTGAAACACCATTACCATATCGTGTCAATATGATATTGCAGTTCTCAAGAAGCTTCCCGTTTCACGAGCAAGAATCTGATGCAACTGCAACAATTTTTACAATCGATTACGTTAATGTTACGCCGGTCACGAGCGCAAACTTATATACATGCGTCACCGGATTGACGATGGCTAGATCATGCGCTTAACCTGTTCAAAGATTATGGCACAAAATGAAACTTGTAATTGCCATTAATCTTTTCAGGTTCTTTAATAAATTTGTTAGCATTCTTAAACAAATTCCTTTTTCCTTTCGACGTCGCGTACAGATTATGTCGTGTGTCAAAAGTCGCTCACTATTTCCGTTGACTTTATCCCACTCCAGGTAGCCGAGCGCCTTCAATTTTCTCTCGAACATAATTAATCACTCGCGGCGAGAGATCGACGGGCGCGTTGCTCCCTGAAGAGAAGTCGTGCTCGCGGGGCGAAAGATTGTGTGGAGAAGCCGCTTGCAATTGCTCCTCCAACTCCAGTCCAGCGGGCAACAACGAGATCCACGCGTGTGAACGTGCGACACGCTAGCGTGGTGAGGTGCGCGACGGCCCGAAGGGGGCGGGGCAGACGTCGCGAGCACACGTCGAGCCGAGCACGAGCAGGTGGCGCACGCTTGTCTCTTTAGTCTCTATTCTGCCTTCCCGCTGGTGCCGTCACTGCCGTCCCGTGGCGGCGAGGCGAGCGAGCGAGCTTCGAGACTCGGGAACGAGAGAGCCCCGTGTGTGAGAGTTGCGCGTGCGACGTGCGCAGCGGGCGCTACTCACTCTCGCGTCCAGGAATCGCGGATCGCACCGCCGCACGGACGGAGTGGCCAGAGCGGGGCGAGTGGGGCAGCGGACGACAATGATGGCCGCCACCAGCGATGAACGGAGTGTTATGGAGCCTGGGAAAACGAATTCGGGGCAGAGCCAGCCCGTGGACCGACTGAAGCTGCTCTACCCGATGGTGGACGAGGAGAAGACGCCGCTGCCGCGCTCCTGGAGCACCAAGGACAAGTACAGCTACATAGGCCTGTCGCAAAACAATCTCCGCGTTCACTACAAAGGTACGTGGGTAGCCCGTCAGCGCGCGACCTCCGCGCGCGCGAGACGATGCGCCTCCTCCGTCGTGGCGCGTGTGCGTGCCCCCGCGCGCGCGTCCTCGGGGGGGGCCGCGAGCCGTCCGGATCCCCCGGGGGCGGCCGCGGCCATCCGGACACGCCGTCGTTGCCCTGGCCTCGTGCCCGTGCCCGCGATCGGGCTGCTCCCGGGGGCCAGGCACGGTCGATCGATTGAAAATGGCAGGGCGCTATTTCAGCGTGTGTGTCAGCGACCTAAACAAAGGAATCAGCTGATCAGTCAGCCAGTCTCCCCCCCGTGGTCGAGCCTCTGCGCGTCGCCCTTGTCATCGTCGTCGATGGCGACGACGGTATCGCGTCGCGCCGCGGTCGATCCTCGCGGTGCCTCCTCGAAGGACGCTCGTCGATTTCTGTCGACGCGTCTGGTAGGGAAAAGAAATGCCTGAGAGAGGGGGAGGGGGAGGGAGCGAGATAGAGACAGAGCGATACACGGAGAGAGGAATCGAGAGAGAGAGAGAGAGAGAAAGAGACGCGGACACGGGCACGCACAATGTCAATGACAGCTGCATCGTCGACGTGAAAACGATACGTTGGACTCGACCTCGGATCTCGACTCTCGTCGTCGTCGAGTTCCTCTCCCGTCCACGTCGAATTTCGCGTCGGATATATACAGGGTGTCCCGTTCTCGCTTAAAACGTCAATCGAGATTCAGTAAAGATCGTTTCCCAGAGTCCGAGGCGAATCATTAGCTCTTTTTTTTTTTTTTAAATATCGAGATATGATAATGAAATTACCCAGGATAAAAATCGCGCGTTTCCGCGCGATCGCTAGATGAACGAAGAACGTTTCCCCGAATTGAAGCCGAGGCGAAGCTGCTGCGTCAGCAGCTTGATATTACGTTATACGAGACTTGATCGCCGAGATATTTAATGGCGGAAAATGGTGAGCTGCTACGCGACTGCGAAGCCTCCGCCGGAGCCTTCGTCCGAGGAGGAGCCCGTCGTTAAAATTTGACAGGACAAAGGCGTACTCCGCTTTCAAATCCCGCAGTTGTCTTCCCCCCTCCCCTCCCACAACGGGGACAAGTTTCTTTTCTCGTATCGGGATCTATAAACGATGCCAGAAATGGCGAGGGCTCTTTTTTTTTTCCTCTCGCCTCTTTGCTACGCTCCCTCGTGCTCGTTGTACACACGGTGCGTATCCTGGATTCCTGGCGTGTGTGCCGCAAGCTCGGCCGCAGCGTAACGTATATGACGATGACGACGACGACGACGACGGCGGCGGCGGCGGCGGCTGCGGCGATACGGGGGCGCCGAGCGACGTATACTTATCGGTTCCCTTGGCGCACCGCGTGGTGCACACGGAATAAGAAACATTAAAAGGCATTTAAAACGTAAATGCGCCGTGTATCGGCTCCGGCCGCGAGGCGTTCACGCTCGACGAACGTGATGTGTTCGTGCGGCGAACGAAAATATTGTTTTTCCTTGATCCGGCGCACGAAAGATTGTTGAGAGGAAGCGGAGCAAGAGAGAGAGAGAGAGATAAACAATCGTCTCGGTGTGGTTTGTTCGATTATTTTGCGAGCGAATGATATGCGGACGGTAATCTTGAGTGGTATATCTTTTTTTTTATTCGAGGATCCTTCCTGATTTTTTCCGCCGGACAATTCCCTCGTATTTGTTTTGCTCACGAGAATAAGTAATGACGATAATGTATCTGCACACATTTTTTTTACATGTAAGAATAACGCCGAGATATAGGCTGCAAAATGAAAGTTGGAATATGAACGTTCGTGTCATAATTAAACATACGCAACTATTGCACAGAATTATTTTCGCTTTATATATATATTTTTTTTCTTTTATAGAAAGTGTATATATATACAATATTACAGTCAAGTTGCAAGATATATTACGAGACAAGTTATTACGAAAACTGCAATCTGTGCATGAGATTTACTGAAAATAAAAATTCATTAGCATGTATCTTTCGTATCTTCATAAAAGGAATATTACCGTCGACTGCAAGATAAATAATCGTCGAGTACAGTGTGATTAAGCGGTCGCAGATTCCTGATAAAATTCTGATTATTATGAATGGAAAGAGCGCGAGCTACTTACTACGAGAAGCGAGCTCGCAATACGCGGCAGAACACGAAGCATAATGCACGCGTACACTCGAGACCCTAGCCATGCCTGCGCGTCGATAATATCCGTCGCTCGCGAATCCTTTAATTTAACTTCGATCGTTGGCTTCTGAGGTTCTAGAGAGCCCGTAGCACCACGTCTCGGATCGTTCGGGCAATGTCAGCCTGCAGCAGCATAAATATTTCACTCAAATCGAAATTCCGTTAAAGCCGAACTCCACCTGAAAATTAATTAAAAGATGTTTTATTTGGCGCATATATTTTTTTACGGTTAAAGTTTATTTATATGTGTATGCGATTTATTATATTTATTTTTGTGTTCTCTCCCGTCTGTCATTCGCCAAAGTTCTCACAGTCAGCTGATCGATAGCCCGTCCTTTTTTTTTTGTAAGAAAGGTGCAAATTCGAAATTGCTAATTAAACAAGTGTGGCCTGGAGCACATGAAATACATAAGAAAGCATGCATCAGACGAGAGATACGGCGATATTTTCGAGCCGTCTGCCAATGCAGAATAAAATAATTCCGTGCGCAGCGATAATCGTGCAATCCTGAAACGCCATCACGCTTGGCTGCAAATTACGCATTCGCGAATCTCCTATAATATTTCGTTTCTGATTAAGATTCGTTTCTGATTACGAGTTGCGAGATCGTTGTTGCGCGAAGAGCCGCTGGGGCACCTATCGATTACACGCGAATCATCCGCGGTAACTATATCTCGGCGAGAAATTCGGTGCGAGAGTCGAATCCATCGTTGGGGCCTCTCCATCGGTCGGCGATCGTGATTCGCGAATGTATGTACATACGTATATCTGTTTACGGATCGGCGCAACGAACGAGCGCACGTGGCCTCTCTTGCTGCATGGGAGTGCCTGAGAAAGCGGAAGGCCGCCGTCGTCACTCGCAATAGTGCATCTATACCGTTAGTCGGATCGACTCTTCTCTCTTTTTCCCTGCACGTGCACACACACACGTAACGCTCTTTGATCCCGCAAACACGAGGCCGACCGGACCTCGGTCTTGGTCTTCGTCGCACTCTATGGGCACCATACCTCGTCTTTCCGGAGTTTACGAGCTGTCGATCATGAATGCCTGCCGTTTTTTGCGAAACTCAACAGGGATCCCCCAGAAAGGCTTTTTCTGCAAACATTAATTAATAGTTAGTGGAGGAGTTAATTGGTTCACTCTGTATATCTTTTTAACACATTTCTTTACAGATAGAACTATTTAAAGATACAGAACTGCCCAAAAAATTTGAATGTTTAAGAGAAATGCGTTATCAATCGTTTCTCTAAGTTTATTATTAATTGTTGATTATACATTTAATTATTGTGACAATTTATCGGATTCATCTAATTATTTAACATCGGAATCAAAGATGAAAGCTTCGTTCCCTCTTCTTTATATTTTGTAACTTCTTTATACTCAATAAAATAATATTTCACGTTACGAGAATTAATTATTATTTAACTGCAGTTTAGATGCGTAGATAATTACCTCAAAACTGATTGATATTCATTGATTCATGCCGATGAATATCGCAGTAGTATAGAATATTCCGATTCTATGCGCAGAATAATATGCGTCAAATTATTATTCATTAATATACAAAAAAAATATTTTAATATTCGCGCAAATAGATACTTCGTTCTTTGTTTTGAAATGAAACCAGATGCTGGTATCAGAGAAACAATCCAGCTCATTACCAACGCTGATATTACGTCAAATGATATTACGTGATTATAACAGCATCGCTGAGGCACCGTTGTTTGCACAAAGAATAGGATATTCTCTTATTTTATTCACTGATACTTCAATGATTTAATAGAAGCTTCCGAAAGCTATATAAATGATGCCCGGCGGCAGCATGTAGATACGGTGTATTGTACGTCGTGCAAGGGCAAGAGACATGCGCCTAACACACTCGGAAACTCGTAGATCACAAATCGTGGATAAGCTTGTAATATTGCATCGATGTGCCCCCCTCCCCTCCCCCGCGCGATGACCTAATGCCCTACTTACATCTCTCTGCCTAGGTAAATCATGTCCTTCCGCAAATCAATTTGTAGCTTCATAACGTTCGTAATCCTCGCGCAGCAATGAACCTTTTCGCGTTGATTTTGCTCAGCGTGTATATATTATACTTATATAAAATATTAAAAGATTTAACATCGAAAAGTTATAAGCAAGTCACGACAATCAAAGGCCTGAACTTCAAATTGTCGCGACACGTCCACGATAGTGTCGGATTTTGTTAAAAAAAATATATATAAAAAAATGCACATCTGTGTAATACCTCCGAGAATACCTCGTGTATCGCGCACAACAACGATATCTCGTTACGTAAGCGTGCGCTGGAGGTCCGCTACTTACGTTAAATGTTTACCACAGGCGAAAGTTGTTCTTCCTAAAAGGTAACGGGGTAATTGTCTATCGCTATCGCGCGTTACATCGTAACCGCGAGATACACCGAAAATACATCGCCCCGCGAGCCCCGCGAGCTTACGATGCGTGAACGAACTGGCCATTTCACTTGCGGGTGACTTCGGTGTTTCTCTAGATCACGCCGTTTCTCCTCGCGGCACTACTAATGTATGCAGCTTGAAATCAATATTTCACGTGTCGTGTCTCCAAGGCGCACAGCGTGTCTCGAAGGTGACCATAGTTCTCGCTTACCTTTATCTTGACGCGTTGACTTTGCGTGGTCGGCCAATTTGATTAAACTTATTCCAGCGCGCGTTGCAATAAAATGAGAAAGCATATATAGACGCGTAAGATTATTGGGATTCTTCTTCTTTCGCAAATAACAAGATATTTCCATTTCTTGGATCCATCATTTTACCTCCACTTTCATTTCCCTCCTCCATTCAGTTTGATTTAGATTTTTTGAAATGTAATTGATGGAAATTTTTGCCTCTTCCGAAACTAGAATTAAAAAAAAAGATTAACACTCAAGGTGATGAAACAAAGAAGCTGAAAAATGATGATTGTGTTTGATAAATAAAAATTCTGCGTTACAAATTTATTCCTTTTTAAATTTGGTCAAGTTTTATCTATTCTCGTCAAATTTTTGAATAATGTATTTGTAGATAAATAAAATATGAAATATCTTGTATTCATTTTGTAATGATTTTACTTTACTGCTTTTACACGCGCAATGACGATAAGAAATCGATTTAAGAAGAAATCATTGTTCAAGAATAAATGCATTACATTTGTAACATGTAAATGTCTTTGTTAAATCTTTTCAATATATTTCTATGTATTTTGATAACTACATGTCATCCTATAGACTGCTAGAGAAATAGGCAGGAAGATATCTACATATGAATGCATGATATTCGTCCTTGCATCTCCGAGCTGTGCACGCCGATCTTGGTTTTAATCTCAAGTCGCAGATACATCCCTCTTATGAATGCGTCTCTCTCTCTCTCTCTCTCTCTCTCTCTCTCCGTCACTCTATTTTTAACATGTTTCTCCTTGCAATCAAAATTTTCGTACGATACAGAATATACCTATAGTCGTCGGATTCACCGATTCCTTTAAAGAGAGTCGGGGCCGTATTGTTTTCCCAGGTTACGGCAAAACCCACAAAGACGCTGCCAGTGTTCGCACAACGCACTCGATACCGGCCGCCTGCGGCCTGTACTACTTCGAGGTGAAGATCGTGAGCAAAGGACGCGACGGCTACATGGGCATCGGCCTCTCGGCTTCAGGCGTCAACGTAAATAGACTCCCTGGATGGGATAAGCATTCATACGGTTACCACGGTGATGACGGCCACAGTTTCTGCTCAAGTGGCACTGGCCAACCCTACGGACCGACTTTCACCACCGGCGACGTGATCGGCTGCGGCGTTAATCTCGTGGACAACACCGCCTTCTACACGAAGAATGGCCATCACTTGGGCATCGCCTTCACGGACCTTCCTGTAAGCCACTCATCGTATCAATAATATAAACGAAAGAGAGAGGAAAAAAATGGTGCTTTGTTTCGAAAGGGACGAACGCACGTAGAAGAACAGAGAAGGAGGAAAGGTCTCAAGTCCCATAGGAACAGAGGCAATCTGTCTTCGGATTTTTCATTCCTTATAAATTTCAGTTATATAATAATGTATCAATTTCTTTTCTCTGTTTTCTTCTTTTCACATATTTTTTTTTTATGGGAAGAGAAAATCTTATACAGGTGTTCCCGGAAATTAAACTGCTAAACTGCTTAAAATATAAATTTAGGACTCAAAACGAACAAAATTTTCCTCTGAAAGTTTTCTCGCAAATGTTTCGATTTCTTAAGTTAAAGACCTATAAGAATAAATAATGTCGAAATACCTAATTAATTAATTAATGAAATTAATTTTAATCATCAAAACAGGATAATGCAAGAGAAGAAATTATAGACACACAATATGTCAATCAGCCATTAGTTCATTATGGTGTAATGCTTGTCTCAGGGATGTCATTTTGAAGAATACATTTAATAATTACATTTTGATTATTATGGAGCAATAAAGAGGAGAAACCTAAACCTGTTTCGTCATTATTCATTCGTAACTTAAGTTCTGTAAGAACTTAAGAAGTCAATATCTCTTAAGCGTTTGCGAGCAAACTTTCAGGGGAATATTTTGTTTGTTTTGAAATTCTAAATTTATACTTCAAGTTTGGTGGTTTAATCCAGGAGAACACCCTATTATATTAGTACATTATCTATCATGAAATTCTTTGACAAATGATAAATATAGATCACAAATTATTTTATAATAAAAATTATATAGATATATATAATATATTTTAACTTGTACTTGTAATATTGATGAAGTTTATTTGTTACCGAATCGTATTATTCGTATGTTAGATATGATGAAGTGAGATTCTATTTAAAATTCGCTTTCGCAGCCCAATCTCTTTCCGACCGTCGGTCTGCAGACTCCAGGCGAGGTAGTGGACGCAAACTTCGGACAGTTGCCGTTTGTCTTCGACATCGGGGACATGATCAACGAACTGCGCGTACGAACGAGATTACAGATCATAAACTATCCCACGCCAGACCACGGCCAGGGGCAGTGGCAGGCGATTCTTCACAGGTACATATACGATCAGAAAGCGAGACGGAGACCCGGGTGGTTCCACTCCCTTCGTGGTCGCTTTTTCTTCTCCTTCGTTTGTCATTGTTGTCCGTTAAAATCCTCTTTGATTTGCGAGTTCTGCTCCGAATGCTTGCGTCGGTAAATCGAGGAAATTAACGGGGAAAAAAAAATAAACGCCACGAATCAATGTTCGCGGTATCTTTCTCTCTCGAGAGTTAACGAAACTCTATACGAATTCGACAGAATGGTGTGTACGTATCTCGTCCATCATGGGTATCTCGACAGCGCCGAGGCATTCGCCAGCAGTACCGGTCAGGTGTTCGAGGAGGATTACAACTCGATCAAAAATCGACAGAGTAAGTGGTGGACAACTTCGTCGCTCTTTCGGGATTATCACTCCTCGGAAAAGAATCTGGAAGAGAGAACAATAAAAAAAATTAAAAACTAAGAAGTTACAATTGCAATTAGTAGATATACAATTTATCTAAATATCGCACTTAAAAATTTGAGGAAGAGTGACGATCCTGCTTGTCAATTGTTAAACACGTAATTTTTAATGATCCACGTTGTGAATTCAATAATGATCTGCAGGGGTTATAAAGCTGATACTTTCTGGTCGCATCGGCGAAGCGATAGACACGACCAATCGGTTATACCCTGGTCTCCTCGATCGGGATCCGGACCTGCTGTTTGCGCTCAAGTGCCGCCAGTTCGTCGAGATGGTGAACGGCAGCGACTCGGAGGTCTGCCAGAACGGCAGTCCCAATCAGACCAGTGTGATACAGTCGACCAAAGCGTACGTGAAGTCCGCAAACCCAACCGGTACTGTGGAAGAGATGAATATCAATAATACGATAAACGGCACCAGTCCGCAATTCGTCAACGGTCAGATAGAGGACGATGTGGACATGGAGGAGAGCAACGTCACTGGAGTGAATGGTATCAAGAACAGTAACGGGTATCAGAATGGTAATCTGGACTCGAATGGGTACAAGTGTCAAAATGGGGAGGATGTAGATATGGGTGAGATCTCAATATAATTGATATCGCGAGTAGATAAATAGAGGATAATTATCTTTTAGATAGAAATCGTTTGAATCGATCGTTTCAGGAATTAGGCGGTAGATAAATACAAATAAAACGAGTGGGATAATTAAAGTAAAATCGTAGATGTGACATTGTCGCGCGTAATCATGGTCATTTATAAATTGCCACTCTAATAAACGACCTATCTGACGCGTTTATGTAATAGACTATAGTTTAGACTGTATTCTTAGGCAAACCGTTGTTATATTCAGAAATCGACAACAGTGCCAATCAGAGTCAACAGCAGAGCAGTAACATCGCTGACACTGTGACCTGCACCAAAAGTAACAAGAAGCAATTGTGCGGCGGGAACAAGCAGGCGATCGAGAAGATGTTGGAATTTGGCAAACAATTGTACTCGCAGTCGGTGTACCTGAGACAGCAGTACGGAAAGAATGAGAGCAATAAGAAGATGCTGCAGGACGCTTTTAGTCTGTTGGCGTATTCCAATCCATGGAATTCTCCAGTTGGCTGGCAACTGAATCCTCAGGAAAGAGAGACGGTCTGCGCAAGATTGAACTCTGCTATTCTTGGTAAGAGAGCACGTGAAAGTCGCGATGAAAAATGATGGTTGATATCTACGGATAGCAAGCTTGCTTTGCGAGAAGAAATTAAATTGGAATTAAATTGCTCAGAAATTTGTTAATGATCTTATTTTATTATTTATTTATATGATTCTTATATCTTTTTAAATTCCGTTCCATTGCTCAACTACGAGCAATGGAATTCGAGCAACTAAAATATTAATCATCTCAGAATTTTGATTGACACGTAATGTTAGTTTGAAAAATGTGATTGCCGATCTATCTAACATTGTGATTGTTATGCTCAACAGAGTCTAGCAACTTAGCTCGTCGACCACCGTTGGAAGTTGCGGCGTCCCACGCCAGGGAGCTAGTTCGATTGATGTCGACTAATGGCCTAGGGGCCTGCGGATTTGCAGTAGTAGATAATATTATCCAATATTGACGGTGCCTACCTCTGCTGCCACGTCCGCCTCTTCTACCAGTGCGAGTATGGTGAGTAACATTCGTTTGCATTCGCGCAAGAACAAGAACGCGAAATCACTGGAAAATTAGCTTATCGCGAAGTGCACGCTCGCATATTTATCCCTGCCGAGAATGAGAATCGTGTGTGAATGATTGACGACGAGTGACGGTCGTCTAAAAGAAGAGAAGTAAATGCAATTCTCGGCGCGTTAATGAGATTCAATTAAAAAGTACGAATGTGTCGTGAATAATAAATCTTTCGATATGATTTTATAAAATAAAATATTTGAGAAGTGAAAAAAAGAAACATTTCTTTTTCTGTAGAATAAAATGTTTAAGGAGTGAACTCTCTTCTAGATAAATAACGCGGATTTTCCTTTTTATCTAGGTATGGAAACTCCATACAAAGAAAGATTAAGGTAGGAAGTGCTCTGTGCACCAGTTTGAAAATCGTTTCGGTTTCCGGGCGCGCGGCGTATCCATCGTTATTGTAGTATATTTACGATGTCTTTCGTATCTCTCACTCTCTCTCTCTCTGTTTCTCTTTGATATGCATGCGGAACCTATGTCCGGTCGCAATAAACACTGAGAGAAGGAAAATCCTTGTAGGATGCAGAGGCGGAACGTGGAGCAGATTGTTCTGTTAACGCAGCAACATCGCGATGTCGCGTGCCTCTTCAGCTAGAGCAGCCGGATTCATCGGTGCCTTGGCTCGATCTCACACCACAGACACGAACATACAACAAGGTGAACGCTCAGACCTGCCAGCCAAAATGACACCTCAATGAATTTTTAGCTTAAATCGGATGGACGGTCACTTTGGATAACTACTACGCCGACCAAGAACGAGAAGCGGCAGTTCACGATACTGATCCCCCGTTCCCGGTGGCCGATCGCACCACGCATTTCACGTGGTCGACCCTGTTTTTTTTTTTGACGTTGTTGTAACTATTTATATGCTTTTCTGTATCCCTTTACCTTTTTTTTCTCCCCCTTTTTACTTTCTTTTGTTTTTGTATCCGACGCCAGTTTACCTTCGTTTGCGATCCACTCCGATTTTAAAACACGGCTAGCGCGTTACCTGGATGTAACCGCGCGGCGGTGTGTCGGGACGGAATATCATCTCGTTATTCCAACCGTAATAACTCGCGCATCGTTAAACCGGTCCCTGGACGGTCAATATTGTTGCACAACATTCGATATTGTGCGTTTGAAGGCTTTATTGAAGGCTTAAGTTTTTGAATTGTCTGAAAGCGGCATCAGTAATATTGTACATATTGTATGACAATATTGATCGTCGGCGGAACCGTTTTAGTTAGTAGCCGCAAGCATTGTGCAATATGACGATTCCACGACACGAGAGGAGAATAACGAGCTTTCGACGATTAGACGGAAGCCGAGGTCGTTTCACAAGTGCGAAAGTCGACGGCGAGTCTGACTGCGAGGCTGTCGTTCGTATCGTCATACGGTGAAGATTCTCGCGTTAGCTCGCATAGCGCGCGGCACAGCGGAGGGTAACGTGTAATCAAATTTATTTGCATTTAAGCGCGAGTTGTTTCTCAAGGCGTATATTCAACAACGGTAAATCAATCAAACATCTGATTAGATTCGCTGATGGTTACGGAGGGGAGGGGTAATAAATGACGCACTGTTATACACTGCGTTCTATTCGCTTCGATTTAAAAAAAAAAAGAATAAAATTTATCGCACGAGCCGAACTAATCTTCCGCAGACGTTTAACAATTCTACTTAATTTTTCACTTAACGCATCCTAACGACAAAAAAATACATTTTCTCTTCCTTGATATTTTGACGAATCGGCGCGAAGATTTTTCTCTTGTATCTTGATTTTCGTATATTATTCTGGGAGCGGCGGAAGCATGTTCATTTTAGAGATGGATGACGTCTTACGTTTATATAAATAGTTGCGAAAAACAAAAAATCTGTAAACTTAACTAAGGAACGATCTTGTACTCTATATTAAGTAATTGTTTTTTATATGCGACATAGTATATTATTATATTATATATATTATTAAAGAAGAAAAAGAAGAAATCACAAATAAGAAAAAATCATATGCAGCTAGGCGTAAGCGTGCGTTTAAATACAATAATTTACTATATATACAAGAAAAATCATATTAATTAAAAATAGAATTACTCGAATTAAATGATTTTTAGTGTTATTGTTTTATGTACTATAGATAGAGCTATAATATGAATATGTGCGAATACAGCAATGATTTGGCCAAGATGGTTTATAAGTCATTTTGTTTCGTCGCACATGTTGTTGTTATCGCGATTATCCCGTCAGGATCTTCGTGTAAATTCACCTGAAAAGTGGAAAAAAAAAGAAACCTATTGTACAAGCCGATCGAAATTGATTTTTGGGACTGATCGCCATTGTTATTTCGAGATTTGCTAGAGCACTCGTTCTGTTAATCAAATGCGACCGGCGATACAATTCGACGACGAAACCTGCTCATTCTTTGTATCATCGTGATCTGCTCAGTAGGATCGCCGGCGTCCTTGTCCCTGGATAAAAAAAAAAAGAAACTTTTTGTTCGCACCCCCTCCAATCATTGGCTCCCGAATGTCGTTTTGCCCCTTGCCTGCCTTTCTAAGTCTTTCGACGATATTTTCAAAGTGCATATATTTTAGGTAATAAAGAACAATTGTAATATATATACATATACATATATGTGCCTATTTAACGTAACTTTTATTTTTTTTTGTTCTCGCTTGATTGAACGCTCACGCGGAGCATGTGCGTTTTGTGCGTTAATACGTTTGACCATGCACGGGGTCGCACCGCTTTTTCGTTTCTCCCTCCGAAGGATCATCAGCGCGGGCGCGCCGGAGAAGGCTGTCTCGCGGATGTCGCGTTCGTATATTTCCTGTATCACGCACGTTCGCGACGCGAGAAGCACGGGGCGGGGGAGGGAGACCGGGAGGGCTTTCCCCTCCGTCCGTAGAGCGCGAGGGCAATGCGTATTGCGTGTGTGTAGGGTATGCACCAAATCACTTCGTCGTTTTCACGTCGAAAAGGGTAGTAAATGTTTACTCGCAGGAGTTCTTCCTACGAGGTTCTTCTCTCACTCAAGCGACTCCCGCACGTGATTGTAGCTAGTGTACGTTGTACGACAGTGGTGACGTTAAGTAGGGAAGCCAGCATTCGCACAAACACACACTCTCTTCGCTTTTACCTTTTAACTTTCGAAAGGGACTGCTCGCACCTTAACGCGAACGCACACGCACGCGCGCGATACACTCTCTCCCCAAGGGATAACGTCGGCGGCAATCCGGCTGTCTTTCTCAGGCTTCGCGAAGTCACGGTCGCGAAGACACGATACCGCGGCGACGAATTAATTCTCATCCGATTAACCCTTATCCGGGAGGTCCACTTTCTAAAAAAAAAAAAAGGCAAACGGGTAAACGTATATATTTTTTCTCTCTAAGAGTCTCGTATGAAGAAAAAAAAATACTATATTACACGTACATAAATATATTTATCTTTATATAATCAAAGATTACATGTATAAAACTTACGGAGTTAGGAAAACGTATTTTTAGGAGGTAACTTTAAATTTCGAGGAATTGAGACCCCGCCCGGATACGAGTTAAATGCTATTGTTCGATTAATCGACACGAGCACGGAGTATTGTGATGTGAATTCGTGGCGCGCGACAATACTTTGCGCATCGCGTTAAAAAAGAGAATCCCCAGTATATATATATATATATATATATATGTGTGTATCTATACTATGCTCTTTTTTTTATATGACGATGTAATTGTAGTATCTCATGTATCGAGATTCGAAGTATCTTGGATCCAATTTTAAGACGAGACGGGCGAACGCAGTGGCGACAGCCATCGAATTAGTTATTTCTAAAACTCTGAGTATGTTGAAACGTATTTTAACAATAGAAGCGTTATTTTTATACGTGTACGACGTAGTTGTATATCAAACGAAACGCTGCGTGGCGCCGTGTGTAACGAGACATCGCGACACGTTACATTGTTACAACACATATATGCGTATAGTGGAGAAAGAAAGAAAAAGAGAAAGAAAGAAGAAAAAAAACAACCGTTTTAAAATATTTTGTCGTCGCTGTAGGTTCTTCGCGTTTAAGCCGAGCCGAGATGTGCAGGGTGATTCGAGAGCGGGATTTCCGCGCGCGCGCACCGGCGAAACACTCTGTGTATCACGAATAAAAGGGAAAGAAAAAAAAAATACCAAATCGAAAGTTCATACTGTTAACGTGTTTTTTTTTCAAGCAATATACTTTGTAATGAACGAGACGAAAAGCGAAAACGAGAGGAGCGAAGCTCCGGTCTATGGAGCTTTATAGACGATAAGAGCCGACACGTGCGATGTTCATGGAAACACAGCGTAAACGACGATCAACGGCTGCTGTATACGCGTTCCCTTTCCTTTCTTTCTGTCTTGCTGATTACGAGCACACCGAGCGCGGATGTTTATCCGTTTTTTCCCGCGAGCGCGAGCTCCGCGAGAGCGGAGAGAACATTCGCCTCGTTGAAGCGGAACGAACTCGCGGCGCGGCGGCTTCGAGGCGCGGAGATGCAACACCACCGCCACCCACTCGTTATGTGAGCTTTCGATTTCGATTACGGCGGCAGGCGCTTCATGACATTTCTAAGAGAAAGTCAGTGTGTAACATACCATGTAAATAAGTAAAGCATGCACGCGAGCGACTTGAGCGGTGCGGCGGCACGGGGCGTCTCTTTAACTCTGGGGTAGGAGGGAGGGGGAAGGGGATCGAAATCAGTATATATAATTTCGATATGGTAGGCGAGCCTAATTCGCGACTTTCCCACGGTCGACTGTCCCGCAGGGGCAGCTTAATTGCCAAATCCATGTCTCTCGTTTAAATATAAAGATATAACAATAAGGATCGCGGATTGGGCTGGCCTGCGCTCAGGAGACGGCCGGTGGCTCGTGCAGCTGTGTGAAACTTCGATCGCGTTTGCTCTTTGCTTCGGCGTGCAATTAACATAATAATGAAATCGATTGGTTTTAGGGATTTCCCGGTCGGGAGACTAGAAGGGACGGAGATCCACCAAGTGTCGTACGATTTTTTATTGTGTAAGCGGCATTTTCGATTTCGCACACACCGCGAATTATTGAAACACCACTACACGCGCTTATATCGCAGAGAGCAAGTTACGTTTTTAGAGGTCCCGGCAATAGGGCAAGCTGTATATCCCTTACTTATGCGAGCTGCATAAATCATTGCGTGCGTCATTCGGGTTGGGATGATCTTTAGGATATGTTATTCTTACTCTAATGTTCGCGATGTAAGATTCGAGGGCCGATGATCGATATCGTCCTCGCGGCGCGTAAGTTATAATGTGTTAAGGTAAGTCTGACAATTTCTTTATCTTTGTAGGAGCAATTTTGTAAAACATTTCGTCGAGTTATTAGCAATAAAAAAGATGATTGTGTATCACAAGGAGTACAAATTTTAAAGCGTTCTAAGCGAAAGGATGTATCTCGACAATTTTCTCCGTATGACATTTCCTCTCGTGTCTCAGCCTGAGGCTTCTTGAGCAATTAATTCATCCTATCCGCTCATTTCTGTAGATGTGAATCACAGTTTAATTATAAAATCCAGCTCTGTGCAATACCGAAGCTAAAAGTACTGACGCATATGATAAGGCGTTATATTAATTGTAGCCTGATAAAATGAAGATATATTAAGTATTGGACTGATGCAAAAGATTTATTCATTTATTCATTTTTCCATTGAGCTTTTGCATTAAATAAAATTAGAAATTCTTTGGGAGAAGAGGATTAAAAAAATTCTCCAGATAAAAAAAAAGTATATTAAAGCCTAACTGTGGTAATCTTATTTCAATATTACTGGAATATTGCTTCCAACTTTATTTGACAAGTACGAGATGAATCTCTTGTGTCAATCTAATAAAAATGAATGGGAGCATAAAGCGCAGCGGCAAAGACGTCCGCTCGCGGCGGCGATCCGCCCCGTAATGCGCGCTCCCGAACTACCCCACGAATTAGGGGTAGCGTCGCGACGCCGCGCGCCGTCAGATGTCGCCAGGATGACGTTTTCGAGACGCGAGGTCAGGGGTCGAGCGATTGCCGGTCATCTCTCGGCTCGGCGCGATGAGACGAGGAGTGTCGGGGCCGGCCGGTCCCGGGATCGATGTTCACCGAGCGGCTCACCGGCGGTGGCGGTAGCGGCGATGGCGATGGCGGTGGCGGCGGCGGTGGAGGTGGCGGTGGTGGAGGTGGTGGTGGCGGCGGCGGCGGCGGCGGAGTCGGGCGGGGCGAGAGGTCGCTCCGATCGACGCTCGACTCCGCCGTCAGTACGCGTCCAGCTCGCCGCCGCTGTCAAGAGAGTGCGACTTTCGCGTAGCACACAGCTGCCGGGTCCGCGGGTTTATCCCCCTCCGTGATTCGGAATAATATAACGCGAGCGAGCGAGCGGGCCGCCCCTCGGTCGTAAGACGGACTCGGAGAGAGAGCGCGCGAAGGGTCGCCGAGCGATTCCGTTCTCCCTCACGCGCTCCCCTTTTACACGAAGGTGACAGGCAGAGTCGCGGTCGCGCGAGTTTTACGCGGTCGCACACTCGGCGGAGACTATAGCCGGCAGCCACCGTCGTCGTCGTGATCGTCGTCGTCGCTGCTGCTGCCGCTGCCACTGTCGCCGCCGCCGTCGTCGTCGTCGTCGCCGTCGCCATCCGATCCGATCCCCTCGCGATCGGTCGTCGTCGCCGTCGTCGTTATCGACGTCGACGTCATTCGGTCGCGAGCCACCGGAGCACCCGGCGCCGCGCCGTGCCGTGGAGTCGACGCGCTCGGTCGGAATCGGCGCCCTTCGTTCGAGAACGAACGGGAGAGACGAAGAACGGACAGACGTAGAACCGTCAGCTAGGGAGAGCGAGAGACGCGATAACGAAACCGTATCTCGACGTCGTTCGCGCATACGCACGCACGCACGCACGCACGCACGCACGCACGCTCGCTCGCTCCCGCGCCGTGAGTGCTCGCCGTCAGCGCCAGCATCATCATCATCATCGTCGTCGTCGTCGTTGCTGCCGGGACGAGGGTTCCTCTCTCTCTCTCTCGCGCGCGGGTCGAGCCTCGCCTAAACTGCTCCTCCTCCCGGATCCCGGTCGGGTCGAGCAGGACTGCCGACCGACGTGCTCCTGCCGGAAACCGTTCTCCCGGAATATCGATCAAATAGTCCAAACCGTGTGAAAAACTATTCCGGGAAGAATAGGGAGAGAGAGAGAGAGAGAAAAAAAGAGGATATTGGTGATAGAGAGAAGACAAAAAGAGAAAGCGACGGCGAGAGAATCCCAACGTCACTCCAGGATACGCGAAAGGAGGTGCGTACACGTACGTGCGTTTGATTCGTATCGACGGATTGCCGGGGGGAGAGAGAGAGAGAGAGAGAAGTACCCGTTTTGTGCGTGCGCTCGCGGTGACACCGTCCGAGCTACCCCTGGCCAACCGCTCGCGAGAGAGGGAGAGAGAAAAGGGGGCGAGTGGTGGAGAGAGAGAGAGAAAGAGGGCGGGGGTTCGTTCTTTCGGACGACTGCTGCACATTCACGCTCGATTCACATTCCGTTAATTATTATTTTTTCGAAAAAGGGTTAGAAGGGGTTGAAAATTGCACGAAAGAAAAGGAAAACTCCCGAGAGTGCTCCGAAAGTGTAAAACGTACTCGTTGCGCGGTAAGAGTTCGATAAAAGAGGGGGTGGCAGTTGGAAGGATTAACCGAGTGCGAGACGTGCGTGTGATCTATCTCTCTCTCTCTCTCTCTCTCTCTCTCTTTATCGGACGCCGTTTAATTATTTCCCTCGTGCTTTTGTCGAAACGATAGAACGCTCGAGATAGTAGAGATAACGTAACAATGGCAATCCAAATTATACGATCGCACGATGCACACCTGCGCTTACAATGTCCGCATTTAGGGAGAGTATTCTTCCGAAAAATGAAAAAAATTCCCTCACTCCAGGACGGCGCTTAATGTGACTTAATGATGCAATTACAAAATATTATTTGACCTGATTTAAATTTGGCATTTATTCGCGCTTTAAAGGGGACAGTACTAGAAATAATCGATCTGTCGTTCGCTCGAGAGCGAGACTCGGCACGAGCTCTTTTTTTCTCTCTCTCTCTCTCTCTCTCTCTCTCTCTCTCAAGATCAGTTAAGAGAGTAATCACGATTTTTCTAGTTGCACGCGCTTTTAAAGATTCAAAGATCGCGAACAAGGCCTCCTGTTTTAATTATCTTGCTTATTTATCGTTTACGTATTTGCTGTGTTTTCTTCTATGAAAAAATATCAATGGAAACAGCATGTAGAGGGATGAACGACCAAATAATTTAATTTTACGATTTCAATTAGGCTCCTCGCGCTACGCGGAACGTACGTTGGCGAGCAGCGATACGTCGCTCGTGTCACGCGATAAAATTGCAATATACGCGATACACACGTGGGTCAACGTGTTTTCGTCAAAGTCACGGAGGAGGGATATTTCCAGTCGCCGCGGGATATAAAAAGAAGGCACGATTTCTCGATAAAACGCAACGGCAATTCTTGTGGAATTGCACTTCTTAATCTCCCATCGACACACGACGCGCGAGATGAACGCGTCCGTTTGCATCTTCTTAATGGTTTCAAATTTCAGATGTAATCGGGAATACCCATTGCGTGACCATAATCAATAGAAAGGTACTTCGCTTCCCGTATCGCTGTTGCAGTTAAATCGTTCGGATACGGGAAATAACCCGTGACTGAATTGCCAGAAAAATCTTTATAAATGTCATTAGACATTTTCTAAATTTACGGATAATAAATATGATATCCGCCTTTATCTTCCGATGATTAATCAATACGATCAGAGATCTAATTTCAGTTAATATGTTATTTGTGACATTAAAAATACTCTAATTATTTTAGTAAAATGTAATGAATTAAAAATCAGATCTTTCATATGGAATTAACTTTCATATGTAATTATACGGATTAATCATTAAAAGGTTCAATTTTATTACATTTTCAAAATAGACATATGTATCACGAGAGTTGTTAATTATTTTGCGAAATTATGTGAAAAAAGAAACGCGAGAGATATTCAAATACTTAAGCGAGCAATTGCGTCTCATGCATTTGCTTGAGGATTCGAGTCCTTTCTCTCCTGCCGCACTAAAGCTACTGCGCGCTACTGAGCGCGAAAGAAATATCGGAAGTCGTGAAAGCAACAAAGAATCCACGTTACAAAGTGAAATAATTCGTGTAATCGCTGCGTAATTAATTGTGTGTTGGGTTACGCAACCTTTTCAGATTGAACAACGACGAGTCAATCGATCAGAATATTTTGCGCGAGAGAAATAAAGTACATTCGTAATAAGTAAGATCTGGGCTTTGGCCAATGTACACGAGCTCATCTCGCGTACCGCAAGAGGAGCTCCTTTCCGCGTTGCGCATTAATTATGCACATTAATTACGGATCGCGGAAGAGGCCCGGGGGGGGGGGAGGTAGAAGTGGGGAGGAAGTGAAATCGCGAGGTGCTCGATAAATCGAAGGGACCACGATTTGCCCGACTTCCGCACGCCTTTTTTTTTCGCGCGTTACGTATCTCCTTAACGTATTTTAGCCTTACTATGCCGGCGTTGGTATTTTATGAAGCGCGACGCGTATCGCTTCCATTATATCAGGTCGTTGCATTTTATTGATCGTACGCCGGTGTGTTTCCACGTAATGCCGTGCTTGCGAAGATGTACGTGGAATCCGACAAACGAATAAACCGTGGATTTTCCCAGTTCGCGGCTGGATTTCCCGGCTAGTCAGAAATTCGGCCTGGTCGCGATCGGAACGATTTCGATGGGCTTCGATTTCGCAGGTGGCGTACACACACCGCGTGCGGCCCTCGCAAGCCGGTGAAAAAGCTAACGGCGTTGTTATTAAAATCGTTTGCGGAGATATAGATACGAGATGCTCTTTTAAGACAACAACCGGTATATATATGTATACATTCGATCTTGAGCGGAAAGTAAATATCGATATTTTATTGAGTTTATATGCTTGGAATCTGACGGCGACGAAATAATCTTGTAGACCGCATCATTTTTAAAACTTTACTTTAACAATTTCAATTTTTGTTTTACTTGCGCACGATTACTATCATCGATATTTTAGTGTCTCCGACGTAATTTTATCGATATATTGGCGCGTTGAAGACATTATTTTATCTTGCAAAGAGAAACCAACGATTTTAATTTATTGTCCTGTTAGTATCGGAAAGTTTTATAAGATTTATTTTCAGATTCGAAGATTGTTCTGATGTCTGAAAATTTAAATCGTTCTTATTAAATTGCCGAGCGATCGTCGTCAGAATTTAATTGCAATTAAATCGAGAATCTAATTTAGCATTGCCATCTTTTCATTCCGGTTAAGTTAGGTTGGGTTTGTTCTCGGTAACTAGGAAAGGAAACTTGAATTGAGTTTTCTTAAATAGCTTGTCAAGGCCCACAATTTGATTTCTGTTTCATTATAATTCGTCGTCTCTCCACGCAATGAACATTCCTCTGCGAGAGAGTTGCGTTAAACTAGGCCGACTAAACGCGAACCCATTCTACTGTCGTGCCTAATCGAACGAGGACTATTCCACTAGTTATTCACAAGTTAAATAAAACTGTATACGGAATAGTAATCTTTTTCTTGAAATTCGTCGAGTACGTAATAATTTAAGGTCCCTTTCCCTTTTCTTCATGTGTTATTTCCAGTCGACTACAAAATGTTTTATTTAACAATGTAAAAACGATTTAACGATACAGAGTTTATGGATTTGATTGATATTTATTGATTCATTTTTCCCCCCGTCATTAATGTGAAACTCGATTTTTCATTCACTATGGCTAATGACATTAGATCAGATTCATGCTCAGTGACAAGGTCTTAAATCGCATCGAGCGCGGTTCCGATATGCCAGCCTAATAAAATTATTACCCAGCTCGCGCGCCGAGGAATAATAACGAGATACGGTGAACAAACGACGTTATCAGCGACGATTGGACGAGAGCCTTTCAGCGTATCAAACACGGGCGATCTGCCAAGTTCGCGATCGTGTACTCGACGCTGGAAAAGCGAAAACGAGTGTTATCCATCTCTCCTTTGTGTCCCCTCGGCGTTATTCAGTGAGGCAAGGATTGGTTGAACAATGCCGATACCGGTGATCTAATCCTCAGTTACACGTAATCGATTATTTTGATCGTTTGCATCAATTAGTCACATCGTAACAACACGGAATCAACTATTATCTTTCCGATTTGACTTGGTTCTGGAAAATGTGTTTAAGAGTTAAAATAAATTTTTTTAACATCAAAGTTTTTTTTAACATAAACTACTCAAAAGTCTATTGTGTTTGAAAACCAATTCCTGTCGCTATGCATGTTGCTACAGCTAGTTTGGCGAACTTTGACAGATCGCGACATTTGTTGAGTTATTGACGGAAGTTTCGTAACGCCTTGATTCTCAGGCAGGATTACGAGATTATCTGATTATCCTCTTTTTTTTGTGCTTGCAGGCGCAGCTGAATCGCACGGCTAAATCGACGCAAGTGTGGCGGTGGTTAGGGTCGCGTACGGGTGGCTGCGGTCGCCCAGGTAGTTAGGGGACCACTCGGTGCCGGCTGCCGCCAGTAAGGTTGCCATCGGTGACGACGAAGACGAAAACGACGAAGACGAGGACGAGGAGGAGGACGGCGGTGGTGGTGGCGGAGGAGGAGGAGGAGGCGGCGGCGGAGGAGACGGTGAAGCCGGTGAGGGAGGCAGTGCCGGTGACGGTAGTGGTGTTAGTGGTAGCAGTATCGGTGGCGAAAGTGTTTACGGTGGTTGTGGTGGCGGCGGTGGTATCGGCTGCTGTGGTGACGACGGCGACGGCCGCGGCCGCGGGTAGTGCCAAGTGCGACGAGGAAGACGGGATTAAGGAGGAGGCGGAGAGGTGGTGGTGGTGGAGGAGAAGAAGTTGCGCCAGGAGGTCGTTTCACCCTTTGCGTGGCGACGGGGCCGCTACCCGGCCGCGCTGTTTGGCAGCCGCTGGTGAGAGAGCAAGTGCGTGAGGGTGGCATTTGTCAAGGCAACGTGTAGCAAGATGGGCTGCGCCATGTCCGCGGAAGAGCGAGCCGCTCTGGCTCGCAGCAAGCAGATTGAGAAGAATCTCAAGGAGGACGGTATCCAGGCAGCCAAGGACATCAAGCTCTTGCTGCTTGGTATGTTCTTTCGCAGCTTACTTTCTATTCATTTCGATCCCGAAGTATATATCTCTGGCAAGAACAAACGGTATACGCGACATGTGTGTGCTCGTAAAAATTTTATAACTGCAAGAAATCACAGGTGTGGGCGGATCCAGCAGATCCTCATGCTATTTTTGAGCTCGGGGGATTAAAACAGGGCAGACTTAACGTCCAAAATTCCTAAACGTCCAAAACTATTTTATTCGGCATATCTAAATCAATGTAAAATTGGAATTCGTATAAAATTAGGTGATTTATTAATTTATGTCAAAATTGTTATATAATTTCCTGAGGATTCATTTTTCTATTCTTTTCGTTTCTCAGGGTTAAATAATACAAATAAGAGCTACATGTTAATTGAATGATTATGGATTTTCCAATATTTCATTAAGCGTTATTTTTTGTTACGGAGCTTTATCATTTAAATTAAATTTACTATAAAAATAACGCTATTATATGGAAACAGGTCAGGCAGAAGAGATAAGCAAGTAGCTAGCAGTTTGATTTGTATCTAGTGACTTGTATATTCAACATGAGTGCCGCGTGGAATACCGGTATCAGAACAATAACTACCGAAGGGGCAGAAAGGGTGTAAAAACATTCGAGACGCGGCGAGATACAAAATGTAATGAGCGAAAGAAATATAATGCAACAATTGTAATATCAATTATGCCAAATTTATTCAAATATCACTTATCTCAATTGTTACGTTGCTTCTTTTAAAGTCCGATGTCGCTACGTTAAGGACAACATGAAAACATAACGTGACTGGCAGTAGTTGAAAAGAATTGCGCGCGCGAGGGACTTAACTGCGAGAGTTCTGAAACATGGGACGGAATAACTTCGTCAAATCGCATAAATATTGCCAGGAAATTATCCGTCGGGAAATAGTGCATGCAACTTGGCGACCGCGATTATATATCGACGACACCGCGAAGTATCTACACCGCTGCTTCCCTCCCGCGCGTTAGATATTTCATGAGCTATGGATCTATGATTGGTGAGAAGTTGCGCATTGTACGCTCTCTCTCTCTCTCTCGTCCTCTCTCTCTTTTCCAGAGGAGTCTTTATTGATCTACCTAACTTTCTAAATGCGTGCCAAATCACAAGCCAATTATGTCAAAGTTTCCTCGTCGCGTGCGAATTGCACGAGATCGCAATTCCGCGATTTACTTTCGACGCGCGACGTGATACCGGAAATTGATTCGCGATGTTTCCCGGGAAAAAGTCCACGGAAAGCCCGAAAAAAGAGAGCAAAATTTCCCGTCCAGCCAAATCTAGAGAGAGAGAGAGAGAGAGAGAGAGAGAGAGAGAGAGAGAGAGAGAGAGAGGGAGCGAGTCGATTCTTTGGTTTCGCGTGATAATATTTCGAGGCTTCTCTTCTAAGTTTATCCCGGCTTAAAAGTTCAAAGGCAGATTCGCCCGCGCGCGTGTGAGAGCGCCGGGCTTTTTAGATCGACCGGCATGCAGGAAATTGGACGCGACGTAAAACCGGAAGAATGGCGCAACAAGCGTGTTCCTCCTTATTGCGGAAGGGTAATGCCCGATCGCTCATCCGAACGTCAGTTCTTTCAGTTCAGCGCTGGAACGCTTCGAGGCGCATAATTGCCCGGCGTCGACATCAGATATCATCTGACGTCGGAGCGTTTCATCGGTGACGTCAACGCTTTGGGACGCGCGACCGAGATGACGCGCGATAGCGCATCTCATTTGCCTGCAGTCGCATCGCCGGGGTCGACGCGGCCGAGAAACTTTTCCCGAACTTTTTAAAAACCGAAATGACAGGGACACGCAAATAATGTGCAACGTGGATCTCGCGCGTCAAAAATATTTCCACCGAAATAGACGGCGCCGCGATTGCTGGAGACAGGGCTGGAAAAATAAATCAGATAGCAGTTTCTCTCTCTCTCTCTCTCTCTCTCTCGCTCTCTTTGTCCGGTCTCCACATTTGGGATATCTGTCGGGAACTTGACGCGGGAGGTTGTCGGGAGAGATCTGATATTTGCCAGGACACATACTGTTGCCACGTGTCGGCGTCCCTGCGGGACATGAGAGCCATGAAATTTTCAGTCGACAGGGAAAGTCTATCGTCAGACTCTCTTTTTTTTTCCTCTCAAGTTAGGGGCACGCGAACGATGCCCAGGATAAATTGGGAACGCACGGCATTTCCAACGGCATTTTATATTCGTTCATTCGTGCCACATCTCTCGCGTCAGAGACGTATTTATTCTGGTGTCCTATTAGAAACAGAACGCCCAATGAATTTTTTTTTCAGACGGAAAACAAAAGCGTTTCAGACATAATGTTAGAGAAAATGTATTCTATTACAGTTTCGTCGACACAGTGTTTTGTACGAAAGGTTGTTGTATTTATAACGAGCTTTCGTTCCCAAAAAAGGATATGTCATAAATAATTACGGAAGCTATAGTACAAGCGTTACAAAGATTAGAATGTCAATGGAATAAATTGCTCGTTCCGTTGACATCCTAAGATTGGATTAAGATTGAGATCAGATCTCTCCCTCTCGCCGTCCCCGATTATTAATGACGAATTCTCACGATGAATCGTGAGCAGCCTGGCGGGGAAGCGTTGCGTAACGTGGGATGATTACGTGGATACAACGCAGACAAATGGACATACACAAATACCACGGTTACAAGACCCGAGATTCATTCATGATCGCAGTACGTTTACGAATGTATTATTCGCGTGTCGATAAATTTCACATTTTGCCGCGTTATCTTTGTATCGACGTTAATGAGGCAAATGCCACTGTAGCCTGTCGAATTTTAATTATGTTTTGTAGATATTACCGCGTACAGCAGCGCCTCTCTCTCCGATTCGAAGTCTTAATGAAAAATCCTTCGGCGGCCTCGCGCTATAATTAGAGGCAAAATCAGTCGGTGCGGGGGTGGCATAAAATGCACCGGCGTATTGTCTCCGTTTATCTGTCCGCGTACTAATTGCTTCGCACGTTTTCAATTTTACTTTCTCGCTTTTTCTCGTTTTTCCCGCTTCGCGACGGGATGTACCTGATGACTGACCGAGGGAATCGTCGATCTTGATTTCTTTTTTTTTTTTTTCACATTTACGGACCTGCCTCTCACGTTGCATCCTTTCAATATTTAACATTAAATTCTTTGATAATTTATATATAATTTGTATTCTAAATAAAGTTGTTTCGACTTTAATTGACGAATGAAATTTTCTTATTTAATCGTATGAATTATATGGGATTTTGTTCGTCGAAGGCTCTTCATTTTTAACGATGTTTGTCTTCCAAGGGCATACTATGACGTCCGAAAAATCGCATTCTACGTTAGCTCGAAATGCGAGCATCGTGGAAGATACGTTTTCTAGCGAAATATGGGTCCTGTTTATTGGTGTAACCAGTGACGTCATTCGCCGGCAGAACGTGCGTGCGTATGTACATGCGCAAATTGGCTGCGAGTATTTTCATCCGATTAATGGTGCCTCGGCTGCGAAATACAAACGCACGTTGCGTATTTCAAGGCGATACGGGGCGGCTCTATGGCGTGAAATGTCAGCGACTGAGACGCCTTCTTTGTCGCGGTGCGCTGCGTGTCTGGTAGGCAGAGCGTTAAAAATGCGTGGAAACAGAGAGAAAACGTCGATCTTCTTACACTAGTTTTAAGATGCGAGGAAGACTCCTATCTTTCTTAAAAATTTCACATTTCTGTTGTTGTTTCTTCAATCTATCTTTCATTATCGAATTTTTGTGCTTACATTGAACATAGAAACGAAACCTTTATCTAGATAATTTTCTCATTTTTGATGTACTTAAATTGATCCTAAGATTTCAACGCAGCAATTAATTACGAAAATTTACAGAGATATTGAAAAAAATATATACATATAATATATATATCATTGTATTCTTCTACATTTTCTAATTATTTTAATATAAGCGTACCGCAAATATATTGAAAGATTTATGAGAGAATTTCAGTTCACATAGAGAGATTGCTTTGGAAGTTTTGAAAGATTCTGCAAACATAGTTAAGCATACTTTAAAAACAACATCGATTGCATATCGTGAGTGCGTGTACCGATGGTAAAATGGAGCAAAATGGCAAAGGGCAACGGGTATGTTTGCGCGTGAAACCGGCCGAAATGTTAGAAGGGCAGCGTAATAAAATACAATTTATTGCAGCCTGTAAACTATAACAACGGTTGAAGTGTTTTGCCGTGTGCTAAACGTTGCGTTCAATATTTAATAATATTACAATTAATATTTCATTTTTTCGACACAGCGTTACAACGTGTACATATATAATTACGTATAGGATTTGCTATCATTTATGATATAATCGAAAAGAGCAAAGTTCCATTGAAAAAAAAAACAAGAATAAAATATTTTTTATTTTTAAATAATTGGAATTATTTAGCCATTTGTTAGATCCTTTATTTCGTTCGAAATAAAATATCTACCAAAAGAAAAATCTTCGCTGTATACATCTATTTAAAGAACCAAAGTCTTTTTAATACGAATTTGCAACTTAAATGAAATTTATCATTTATGATGTTATTAATAATAATTAGCAGCGCGCTAGTGAATAAAAATAATATCGAATCGATGTTCAATGTCTGGAAATTCATTGAATTCGAAACTTTCCTCTGCGATATCTCATATATAAAATTTTATAAAATACGAACAAAATATTTGTTTTTTTAAATTCTGTAGCTTTTATAATATTAATTAATGTATTTACGTGACTTCAGAAATAGAATTTCCTTGGTTTTATATTACTTATATTTAATCTAAAAGCTCTAATATTAATTTTCTCTTATATTAACTTTTCATGAATATTCCTATGCACGGCTGATTCTGTACTAAACTGATATACCGTCAATGAAGTGCAAACAGTTCCTTGTCTCCTGCCGCGCTCTGCGGGCACTCAAATTTATCTAAATTATCTCTGTTCCACATTTATCGCGTACGCGATGGATAAAGGTCGCCCTCACAATCGCGCGCGAGGGCTCTCCGCGGAATAGATGCCAGGTGAATGAGGACGCATGCGAGAACGCAGCTGCAGGATGTGATGCGTATATACACCGCGGACGCGTGCATTTCTGGACCGGATTTCGAAGATAAACCGATCATTTCACAGTTCCGAGTTTCGACGGAGTTTCAGCCGTGCAGTAGTAAACGCGGCTGACAGGTGCCAAATTTTACCGCGCAGCGCCATATAGTAAACGCGATCTGGCTCTAAATCATACTAAAATGGTACAACAAACCGCCGTATGAATAATAAGCGCTCCCGGAAGTATCAGCGGTGCGACGGCATAGCACAGGTGATGGAATCTAACTATGTGAGTGTGTGTGGAGTTACGAAAGTTAACATTAGAATTTAATACGGGAGTTACCCAGAGAGAGCTTTCGGCCGCGCGGTGGTGCAGCTTATCTAAAGTAAATAGAGAGAGCTTGGGTTTATTTTATCCTATTTTATCGGAGCGTGGCGCCTACCGTTTTACAGGGTGCTAAAAGCGACCATGCTTTACTGGAGTGAAATAGAACACAGAAGCTGGAGGAGTCACGATTGAGCGGAGCTCTAGGCAAACTCGTGCAAACTCTACAGCTCTCTATATAGCTCTGCTCGATGTTTCACCTCGGCGAGGGCACGACGAGGATCATCGTCGGCGTCTCGAGAGACGAAACTCCATTCTTCTCCGGTCGCCGTTTATAGGACGCACTTACTCGAGATCTCACGTGTATTCAGTTGATGCTAAACGGCTCTAGCCGTTGAGTAGCTATTATAGACGGCTACTTACGCTGGGAGTGCTTTTAAAAGTGGGAGAGAGAGAGAGAGAGAGAGCGAGCGCGCGGAGGCTTGCGGTAAGCAGGAAAAGCGAGTTCCGTCGACGTATCCGGTTATATAGAGCGGCATATATTTCACGATAACTCGCGACTCCGTCACAATGTGTTTGTCGATCCGATTTCAGCGATGCCCGCGCGAGGATCATTCCTCGCAGAAAATTATCGACGACAAATTATAAATTTAATACCACAGAAGCGTGTTTCTTTTTTTTTATACAACACGATGAATGCACAAGTTAATGTATTACATGAGATAATCTATCACTACGAATTTTAATACGTACTTCTTTGACAAGCTTTTAACTTGATCTTTCTTTAATGGACAATTCAATGGACGGGGGATTACTCGCCACAACTTTTCAATTTCCAATACGAAAGATGTCGTTGAAGATAGTTCTGGGGACTCGTTTGCGTCTCAAAGTAAAGTCTGCCTAGAATAAACGAGAGAGTAAGAGGCTTATCTTTCCTTTGTCCCAACGCGCAAAGTTCATTTCGCAACGTAATTCGGCGATATGCAATCGTGAGAGACTGATTGCTCGCAGTTATTAATGCCTCTCTTCTGTTTTTTCAGGAGCGGGCGAGTCCGGCAAGAGTACGATCGTGAAACAAATGAAGTAAGTACATAATCTCGTCTTAGCGCTACATGCGCTAATTATCATTCGGAGGAGGGGAGGATTCCGTTTATTGACGCGAGATTACATCCTATACATGTTGTTTATTCCTTAACACACATATCGGCCCCCGCTCTCGACTATATCAATTAAATTGAGACCGAGTTAATTATGCAACGGCTTCCAATTTGCAATTTACATTTGTAAACGATCTTGAATTTTTCCGACCGAACAGGCAGCTCGTTCTAACGATTGCGAGGAGCAAAACGTCGTAGAGTTTTATATACGAAAAGATACATAAAATTGCATTCACGGATCGTACGGAAACCTACTCCGTAATTATAGTTCAGGCAGTCACGAAGGATGATTCATCCCCGCTCGTGCGTGTACGTGCGTAATTAGGCGTATTTCGCGTTACGTACTCGTTATCCGAGAATTTAACGGCTCTTCCCCTGGAAAATGAGACGACGGCACGAAGAATGCGGCGAAGAACGGGGATACAATGGTACAATACGGCGTCTGCGAGGCTCCTTTGATGTTTCGCGACGTCGCGAAAATGCTAATTTGCGGACACTCATCAGTCGGTTGCAGGCCGCACGCTGCATCACGAGAATCACTTTCCCACGTTCCTTTCCTGATCCTCGAATGGACCGTTAGATTTTTGTATTTCAGAGTATTTCCGATTGTTTTAATTCTCAAGAATTCTATCCTGCCAGCCTGTTTTTCATTATCAAATTCATAATATTTTTTACAATCAGACTATGCCTTTACGTCTTTTCAAATTTATGTAAATTATATTTATGTTTTTTTTTAATTTGCTATGAAAATGTATCTTTAATTATTTTTTAAAACTATATATATGTATACCTTTATTTCCTTGTTATTTATTAATTACCATTGTTAATAGTAATTTAATCCTATCTCTCTATAGTTGCTATTTTTAGCGTTAATAACGATCGAATTTCCGTTTAATCGATTTTGTTTTACGAGAGCTTTATTCCGTCCAAGAAGAACCGGTGCTGCTTAAATTTGAATGATATGACTTAACAACTGGTCGGAAATGAGTCAGACCTTTAATTAGGTACACACGTTTCGGTTTGCTTACTAAAAGTTAAATGACTTGAATCATAACGAATGCCTATCCTTTTGAGAAATTAAACTGTTTGAGATGTTTCACTACAATGGAGGTATTATTTTTCGCTCGCAATTCTACTGCTTTGTTAAATCGCGATGATAATTCAAATCTTCCTCCAATAAAAATTTATTGCTAGTAAGAGATTTCATTAAAAAAACATACACATGTACAGAAGATTGTTTTAAAAGAGGAAAGTATCGTGCAAAATTACACTCTTAATCATGTATCGCCAAAAATTAGAGGTACACGTTGAAATATAAACTCTACGTAATTACGAGGGACATAAGTATATCCCTTAAATATGTATCGCCAAAAATTGAAGGTACACAGAATCTTTAATCAATTGTCTTGTCATTTGATGAAGAACTTGCCACTGGCGGTACATTTTTACCACTGAGTTATACCTCGTATTTATAAATACAAGGTACATACGCAAAATTTTGTACCTTGTATTATATACATGAGGTACATACGCAAAGTTTTATACCTCGTATTATATACACGAGGTACGAACTCGGAGCCTTGTATCTTCAAAAGAAAAGTATCGCGAATTTAAATGCAGTACCTCCAAACATGCAGAAGCATCAGGAGAACAGTACCTTCAATTGTATCGTCAAATTTATTATTACCTCGTATATTCCGTACCTCGTGCTAACGTACCGCGAAAGTACCTCCTTTTAGTGTGTAACTCGAAATGTCATTTCCATGTTCAAAAAAATACCTCGAATTTGGAGGTACTAGGCGATACAGATTAAGAGTGTACTGATAGCTGGTGAAAAACATCGCGTGAAAAATTTTATCACACACAGACTCTTTGTGTGGACGCATTCATTTATTATACCTATTATGTTCTATATAAGTGTCATCGAAAGGACACATAATTTTTTAATTAAATAAATCTCACGTCGCGCTTATATCCGTGAAGGCCACTTTTACACTGCATTTTGCGCAGATGCGTAATTTCCTGAATTATCGCCGTCGCGCCTCGAAAGTAAGCGAAACGTTCGGATAAAAGCGCGTGTCCATCTCCCGCGCGTGCGAGTAATAGATTAATCTTTTCGCGTCCGTGCATCGGCATTATTTCGAGGCAAACTGTTGCCTCGCCTCGGCGAGATCGATACTCGCAATGTTACGATACGCTCGCGCGTATCCGAGGGCAGCAGCTGTTCCGTGATACGGCGCGCTCGCCCGAGATGTTAGCACCGTGTGTTCTCTCTCTCTCTCTCTCTCTCTCTCTCTCTCTCTCTCTCTCTCTTTCTCCCTCTACCTCTTTCTCCCTCTTCCTCTTTCATGTAGATTAGCATATTCCCTCTGTGGGGCGAGTCTCTCTCTCTTCCTGTGACCTGCGCCATGAATGGGCCCTGTTCAAGGGGTCCCACGAACAAAGTTACCGCTGTGCGTGCTCTCCCGGTGGAAGGGAAGCTGTCAGTCGCGAATAGGGATGCTCCTCCGTATCTCGGTAGCGCCGAGAAACCGACTTACTTTCCTTTCGATTCTCAATATTTTTATTTTCGAGGTTAATTAATTTTTTTTTTAAGTCTGTATTGGCTAAAACTGCCGGAGATCTTCCACAGATCACGAATCCAACGATATTATTAGCTTTATGATGCATGGGAACATTTTAGCAGTAGGAAAAAAAAGAGGCTAAAAAAAGACTTTGGTTGTAAAGCTGCAAAGTTACTTTGAACTATATCACGTTTCATACGATTGAATTCGGTTTCATACTACGCTGAATATCTCGGGAAAACTATAGATTAGCAATGTTCTCGAAACAAGGTTCTTTACGTATAACCGCATCTCTCCTGTACATCGGTTGCATAATTTATGGATGCGCATAATGCAGCGAACAGTCCGGTATCCCCCGCGAGCGAAACTGAAGTACGAGCGAAGCGTGATTTTACGCACACTCTTACGGTGGCCGGTACTCCCCTTCTCGCGTGCGTGCAGCCGTAAATCCAGCGGTGTATGCGTGCGTACGCTACGTAGCGCTTCCCCGTGCCGTCCGTTAATATCGTTACTCTCGAAACAGCGGAAACGCCGCGACACTGTTTCTGTATCATTTATTAACGTAATGGACAGTGCGATATTCTTTGTCGGGATTAATACGCCATTTGAATGTTGTAGCGTTTGCGCGACGGTTGCCTTCGACGAAGGGTGAGAGGAAGGGAATTGCATTAGAAAATACCGCGGTGCACAAATTATAATTAATACCCGTTAATTAAAGTATCCGGATTGCCCCGCTGCACGCGCTGGGGGGTTTTTTTGTACATCTAGAACGGAAAACCGAGGGTCATCGTGCACGCGCGACAGACAGAGAAGTTATTAAAGTTCTTCGAACATCTGTACATGAAATATATACATGTTATATACATAGAACGAAAAGAGAGAGAGAGAGAGAGAGAGAGAGAGAGAGAGAGAGAGAGAGAATGTTATAGAGAACACAGTGTTTAATTAACTTCTTATAAAACCTTCAGTTTCTCTCGGAAGTAGATATATAAGCGTCTGAATTCGAATGTTTCGAATTTAGTCTTTATTTTTTCGAAAATTGTGCGGAATATATATATATATTTTTCACGAGCGATTATATATAGAAGAGTTATACTTAACCGCTGGTACGGACATAGATCTATTCCACGTAATACTACACCGTGTTTTCACTTGTATACATAGCGGCGCCGACTCTATAATTCACCTGTGTTGACTCCGAACATTGTTACGATATGTATGGGCACTCATGTAAGTCACGGAGTACATGTAGCGCGCATTGCAATTCATATATGCGTTTACACAGGGCGCACTACGTGGCATATATTAATTCGAGTCGTTGCGCACGTGACACGCGTATATTATAGCGCGGCTGCAAACTCCTTGCGGGAGAGAGAGAACGGCGGCGGCGGCGGCACTTAAATCAAGCGCGTGATATCCACGCGTCTATTCATTCGAATCGTGTCGAATAAGTGCAAGGTATCGATATTATACTCCCACGACGCACGCAGACACGTACACTCTGCTTTTCGCGAAAATTGCTTCTGTCTTGAGCGGCGGCCTTTTTTCTCCAGCTCCTTCCGCGTATTTTTTAAGTAAACGTTGTCTTAAACCAACCATTCCTCTCCTAATATTTACGGAGAGGAGACGTCCCGCGTGCCGTGCGTCTGATGTCTCTGATCGCCTCTCGCGGAACGTGCTAACGCGAGTCCGATTCTGCTTTCAGAATTATCCACGAGAGCGGCTTCACGCCGGAAGACTTCAAGCAGTACAGACCCGTCGTATACAGTAACACGATACAATCTCTAGTCGCTATTCTCAGAGCAATGCCTAATCTGGGCATCAGCTTTTCAACCAACGAGCGAGAGGTAATGTGCATTTGTGTCTACTCTTTTAGGAATGCTTTTAGAAAATAAGAATTCGCTGTATTCGGGGAACAGAGATTCCGCTGAACTGCAGTAAATTTAAATTTACAACAATACGCGCGCATATATATGTGTGTGTGTGACACGCATATCTCTTCGAATCAAAAATAACTTCAGAGTAATTTCCGATTATGTTTGACACATATCTGCGTTTCATCGAATTTTAATTGTTTTGCACTTTTGATCGCGTCAATATGTTACAGCGCATTCATTTAGAAAAAGAGATACTCCAATTTTCTTAAGTTACTTTCGCAAATTTTTTTTTCGACTATTAATTTGGGAAAGAAAGATCATCGCAAGCACGAAAATCGTCAGCTGCATTACTTTTTATTTCCGTTGTAATTTATTAACGGCGACGTCTTTATACGTTGCTGATCCATACTCGTGGTATATATACATGCATGCTATCGCTCATTTAATTTCAATGAAATGTCAAATGCAAAATTATGGAAACGGTTCAGTAACACACGCGTATCAGTCGCATACATCGCGTATGTTATTTAAATGTTGTGTGTACATATCTCGACCATTTTAACTCGTGAAGCATGACATGACATCCAGAATGCGGTTTACTACGTGCCGACGGTTATCTAATGAATGGAGCATTCAACGGCGAATCATAACGTGTTGCCTGGTTGATTAGCCGTCTAAAACGCGATCGTGTAAGGCGATCTGACTCGCCGGATGCGTGCCCTCCTCCCCCCAAGATCGTACGAATAATTATTGACTTTCTTCCCTTAATACGTATCTACAGCTCTTTGCATGTGTGCGCACGGATTAATAAAGTATAAAATATTTGTATCTTAGACAAATTGCGAGAAGTATTATCATGACTATTTGTTTCAATTAAGATATAACGGCCGTATAACATACAGCATGTAAATAATATCGATAAGGAGCCTGTATTTTAGGCGATGTGAGGAGCACGCAAGTATAATCATTGAGCTCATCTTTTTTCTTAACTTAATTTTATTTGCTCTAAATTATTGTTAAAATTGTTTCAGTATCCGGGAAATATTTATTTCACATTTTAAACAGAAGAAAACAATAATTTATTTTTATCTTTTGTCACTTTGTGATTCTTTAGTTTTAGTGCAAATAAGAGCTATATGATTTGAATAAAAATAGAGAGAAATTCGCTGACATGGCTCGACAAAGTGATAAAATAAATTATCGTTTTCTTCTGATTTTTAAAATGTGAGAAAAATATTTCTCAAATACTGAGGCAATTTTAACTATGATTCTTAGATTAAGTAAGTAAAATTCAGTAAAAAAAAGCTACCCAACGATCCCTTCTCAAGCTACCAAAAATGCATAAACTCCTTTTACACCAGAAATTAAATTCCACTTGACATTGCAAATTATATTACAGAAAAAAATCCAGCTAATTATTCCTGTAAAATAATTAGATATTAAGAATATTCGAATGTACGGAGCAATTAATATTTATTTAATATTATAGTATTATTTATAGCCTTTGAATTTAATGCATTCGGCGAAGACTGGAATGAATATGTGAATTAATCGGCGCGATAGAAATATTTTGGATTGTAAGGATTTACATGTTTCTCGTGCTTGCAGACGGACGCAAAAATGGTATTCGACGTAATACAAAGAATGGAAGACACGGAACCCTTTAGCGAAGAATTGCTGGCGGCTATGAAGAGGCTGTGGTCCGATAATGGAGTGCAAGAGTGCTTTGGCAGGAGCAATGAGTATCAGTTGAACGACTCCGCGAAATAGTAAGTGGCGCGATCATTCCTCGAAGGAATTAAATCCCAACGTTTTCTGCCGTATAAATCAATTAGTGACTGCACTTTCGAAATATTTTGCTGAAAAAAAATTGCCAGTCGAAAAAAATACTTATAAATTATATGTATAAAGGGAATGCTTACGAATTTTTGTTCAAACTATATTATTTAATTGGGAATTACCTTCAGGGAAAAATCGACAAAATTTGTTTTATGTTCAGTAAGAATCTTTTGCGTTAATGCGCGAAACTAATTTTGACTCGGTGGTTTTTGCGACCGGCCGCCGCAGGGCTATACGGTCACGTGTCACGGGGAAAATATTCGGCACTTGAATTTCACTCTTGAGAATTCGTGTGCTCGAAAGGGCGTTGAATAGAGAGTAGGAGCAAACCTCATCCTCAGAACGTGAGACTTGTCGTCCCTCCTCTCCCTCCCGGTGCGTTTCGCAGGCATATTTCCGCGCTGCCCCCTTCGCTGGATATTGATTTTGTAGTAGCGCTTGTACATCTCGGTGTAGTGCCGTTTTCCAATACTTTCATCAGTTATCTCCGCTAAGCACACGTTTTTTTTTTTTATTACGGGATGCTTTGAGCGCGTGTAATAATGATTGCGGATCTATTCCCCTCGATAAAGTCAGAATCACGACACTCGGCGAGCCGATCGCGAGTAACGCGATTAAAAAAGAGAACGGTTCGTTTTTCCAACATTCTCTCCGCGCGAGTAATTATATTTTTTTGCGCAAAACGCAATTCCTTTGTACGTTTTACTTTTGCGAAAAACAGCATTGTGGATAAAGCTAAAAATCAATGCACTCGTAAGATTGAAAAAACAAGGAGACAAGCTTTGCGCTTTAAGTTTAATTTATTCGAGATTTCTACTCGCCGTAATTTAACTCATTTTCATAAAACCCGACGCAAAATAATTTCGCTTCGCCTTCTTTTTCTCCGAGAAAGAGAGAGAGAGAGAGAGAGATTCCCCTTTACCGAGAGACACGAGGAGAAAATCAAAGCGTTGTATAAACAAGTCGCGAAAGATTTAATCGCGCGCAATTTCGCCGGGGTAGTATGCCACGTCGCCGTCGTCGTGTGGCCACTGCGAGGTCCTGTCGCTGACTATTAGCGGCCATGCAGGATCCGATTGGGGCATATATAACGTGTTCGGTCGTCTGCACGCAATACGAGAGAGAGAGAGACGGGACTTTTTTTTTCTTCTCTCAACGCGATGGACGCACGCCGTTTTCTGGCGCCGTTCTTAGCTCCAATAAACCGCACTGCGGTTTCGCACCGGGTTGCACGATATCGCGTACAGCATACTTATTGCACACGCAAGTACGCTCTCCTTTTCTTTCTCTCTCTCTCTCTCTTTCTCTCTTTCTTTCGCCATCGCTTAATACATCACTCACCGAGGAGACCCTACCGCCCTTAATAATTGTGTATAACGAGAGTCGATGCCTCTTCGATAAGAGCGCGTGACATTTGCAACTAAAACCGCGAAAAATGCAAAACACGAGTCCACATACTTATTTTCCGACAATTTCATTAATCATTTGCGTTCGACTCGTTCAAAAATGTATTTATGACCGAGCAAGAAATTGTGCTTAACTATACCCACGATATCTGTATATAGAACACAAATGACCGTGCTGATATTAATAGAGCAAATTTATACAAATAGACAGCGTCGTTTGGCATTTTCAGACAAAACGGTATCACGGTGTGGCCGTTAATCTTGGAAATCTTATGTCGGAAAATTGGAAGAAAATGAAAAAATTTTGCTGCGAATGTCACACGTCGAAACGTATTACACGAAATGTACAATGGCGTAAAATCGCGGCGAATTCTTCAGTTCTTTGAAATTTGTAAGTTTTCGACAAGGGAGAGTCTTTCCATTCCCAATCTACTTATAATTTCTAAATCACGATCGTTCCCTCTGATAATCTGATTTGGTAAGAACTCAGTCGCAGTTCAAAGACTCATCAAAGGCGAGGACGGTAGGTCTTCCGAAATCCGAAAAGTGAACATTCCGAGGGAAGGGACGAGATTTTCTTGAATAACCCACGGGAACTCTGCGCGTGTAGAGAACCGCCGCGGGAATTTCGTTTCGCGAGCAGGCCGGAAGAGGATAATGCGAATTTCCCGAGGAAGAGAAGTCGCGAGGGGGTGAGCGCCGGGGGGAGATGCGACAGGTTTGCCCGAAGACGGGGTCGCGAAAGGGAGGGATAGAGGAGGGGGATGATGATACGACGACAAGAGGGGAGGGGGTAGGGGGTAGTAGCACCGATAGTCGAAATGTTACGAGAAACGCGCGCCAACTCTCTTCTCCCTTTCTCTCTCTTTCTCTCCTCTCTTTTTTTCCCTCTTCTTTTCTCTTTACCGCCTTCTTCGGGGATTCTCTTCCTCTCCCTCGTGCGCACCTCGTCATTATTGATCGCAGATGACGTCACGCCACGCCCGTGTCACGTGGCACGCGACCAAGATGGCCGATCGGGGTTCCGGCGAAACTACACCTTCTCTCCACATTTTCTGCCCGGTTTATTCGCGTCTCCCTCTCTTCTCCTCTTTTTCCTCTCTCGCCGGAAAGATCTAAGCTCCTTCTCTCCCCAGGGAGGTACTGTTAGGACTCGCTCGCCTCATCCGGACTTCGGCGAGTCTTGAATCGTCGGATCCTTCATGGCGGCCTGTTTCCCCCGTGCTTCGATCTTTGCTTCCATTTCTTGCGCACCCTCTCTCTCTCTCTCTCTCTCTCTCTCACTGTTTCACATTCTGGATCCTTTCGTTCCATATCTCTATTCTCTTACATTGCCTTGCTATTACTTTTCGCATTTTTCTTTTTCTCTCACTTTCATCCTTGTCAGAAATTCATCTATCATCAGTCCTCTACATCATCAGCTTTCAATTACTCCCCTTTCTCATCTCATTTTTTTTTTCATCATGAAAGCCGGGAGGAATGAGAAATCTTGCAACCCCTAAACGCCATAACCAGAGGTCTAAAAAGATGGCGCTGCGCGGTTTTTCCTAACCTTTCACTACCCCTTTTGCTTCTTGGAATATGTATGTATGCGGTAATTCTAATTGCCGGTACGAGAAACTATTTTGATTACTTTAGCGATTATCTGAGATGACATATATCGAATCACCGATGATTTTACTTTGAAAAATAACAATCGTTATCCTTAGCATCTATTAGCTAGAATAGTTCTCATTGTTGAATATTTATTATTTAACATGCGTCATTTATTTTTCAACATTATTTAACACTTGATACCAAACATCGAGAAATATAGTTTTTAAGTATCGCAAATGGAACTAATTTATTTAACACAAAATAATTTGCTAATTAAAATATTTTATAATTTTTTTAAATCATTTATTCGAACGTTGCTGTTAATTCTAGCAAGTATATTGAAACGAGATATCTCGAGAAAAAAGTAATCAGATTTCATTGTTTTCTTTCGGCATCGAATTGACGTCGTTAAAATAGTGCCGGTTTCGCGAACGATCGACGAGAAACTTCCGAGGCGTTTACACCGGCGGAAGCATTTCCTCGTGACGGCCAGTTCGCACGGCAGTTTACGAAGACCCGATTACAGTAACACCATTTATTATATCCGCTCGCTTCGCAGCTACTTGTTGCGAGCCGCGCCCTAGCTCCCACCTTCAAACGCCCTCACCGTTCGGAATCGAATCCCGATTTATTGTATAAACAGATGCTAATTCATTGTCAATTAATCGATGGTAGCCGGTCGAAAATTTATTGTCCTTACACTTCAGGGGGGGATCGAGGCTAGAGGTGAAAACCCCGATAGCACAGAGAATGAAAAAAGAACTCAGTTATATGTCACTAATTCTGAGTTCATTTTCAGATGCAAAAAGAATTCTTTTTCTAAAAGGAATTCTTTTTGCACCTGAAAATGAACTCAGAATTGATGACATAAAACTGAATATACTGAATATACTAATGAATTCTTTTGGGCTCGGTGTGCTATCTGGGAATGCTTATACACGGAAAAATCGTATTTGTAAAACTAGATAAACCGGAGTCAATTAAAGAGATAAATTATTTCGTTGCTTTAAGAAAAGATGGCAAACAAGATAAAATTATTTAATGCGAGAACCGCAGGAGATAATTGATTTACAATAACTTTGTCGAAATATTTTGGATGTTGAAATATGTAACGGCAGTGTGTAAATAATATATTATTTGTATCGTTACTGTATGACACAGAGTTATAATTTTGCGACGCTCTTTTGTTACAAATCCGTCGTTTCTTTATAGCTTCCTGGATGACTTGGATCGATTAGGAGCGAGGGAATACCAGCCAACGGAACAGGATATTCTCAGGACCCGAGTGAAAACGACGGGAATCGTGGAAGTCCACTTCTCATTCAAAAACCTCAACTTCAAGTAAGTCGCGGTTTCACCTCGGTTATGTCAAATTAAATAGGAATTTATGTGAGATTAAAATAGAAAGATAAATTAAATATTGTAATAAATTCGCGCTCTTAATTAGGATCGTTTTGCGCGCGATGACGATATCAATCGTTCCTGTCTCTCATTTGTGCCGACTCACTTGTGTAATCTCGCGAGCGAGCGCGGGCGCTCTGGAGATGCGAGGCGGCTACCTCGTTATGAATGGTCGACGCGTGAGTCATTACCGTGATAATTCGAGCGTTTGCTTGGAACGAAGCCGAGCGACGAGTCGTATACCGCGGCCGATACTTCTTTCCGTTTGTCGGGGCGGATCGAAAATTAGCGTCGTTAAACGCGGTTGAAACGCGTGTCGAGATAATTATACCCTCGTTAAATCAACCATACTGGCCTCTCAGCGATATCAAGTGCCGATTGAGAATTCATTAGATGAGACATACACGTCGATATAGTGCATATAACCTTGTCACGACGTGACATTGATGGTTTTGTTTTCGATGTCGAGATTAATTTTTAATAAAGTCTCTCGATGGAATAATCATAATTAAAATAAAGATGCAGATATTGAAATAAAATTGACTATTTTCACCTTTGTCTTTTTTTTCTAGATTATTCGACGTAGGTGGTCAGAGGAGCGAGCGTAAGAAATGGATACATTGCTTCGAGGATGTAACTGCAATTATCTTCTGCGTGGCAATGTCCGAATACGATCAGGTGTTGCACGAGGACGAAACGACGGTAAATACGTTGCTAATTTATCCCATTCGACATTACATATTCGCCACACGAATATATCGTGAATTTCTGAGATGTAAATTCTTTTCATAATTTTAAGCAAAAATTGTATTTACATGTTTTATGGAAAAAATTATTAATATTTATATGTTTTTTTAAGTGTCACATTAAAATCTAATAAAATCGGCTTTTTATTAAGAAAAAGTGCGGGATCTCGATGTTTTTATCACGATCAATATGTCACGTTTCTAAATAGGTACATAATTAACTGAAGGGAAGAAGTTACAGAATGAGTTTTTAATCCACGGCGGAGACGGTTCCTCTTCTCATCGCGTCCGACTGTAAATGCGCGCGTTCATGCGGTTACATTGAGAATCCCGCGATAATCGACATTCGGCAAGGTTGATGTACAGGGTTGAACGCACGGCGTGCGATCCGTCAGAAGAATATCACGTCCAAATTGGGAATGCGGCGGGGAGTACACGTAACTGAGGCTCCGAGGAATCAAGGGATCAATTGCCGGGGTCGCTGCACGTGGGAAGGTTCCGTTGAACTCTCTCTCCGCTCGCGTGCGGTATAGTGACACACGCGTGTCGTCGTCGTTCTACCCCAATGTTAATTGCCATTACGGTGTACGACGTCTCGTGACCTGTATCGCTGGTCCATCGTAGGTCCGTGTACGGGATTATGTACGCGGGAGCGAGTGAACCAACACGTTTCCGCCATTAATAAGGACAGCTTTAAATACAATATCACGTTTCGGGAGCGCGAGTCTCGCGTGAATCGCGGGGAGGGAAGGAGGAAGGTTTGAATCATTCTCGCGCTATTTATATCGATGTGATTATTACATAAGCGTATTTCTCTTGATTGGTCCTTCCGTTAATCGATCATTGCGCAGAAGAGAAAACTCGACGAGTGTACGAAGGGAAATTTGCGCGTGAATATCTCGTGTAAACGAGCGTGATTGTAATCCTTTTGACGTTTCTTTTTTTTTTTTACAGAATCGGATGCAAGAGAGCTTAAAGCTGTTCGATTCGATCTGCAACAACAAGTGGTTTACCGACACCTCGATTATCCTCTTCCTGAACAAGAAGGATCTCTTCGAGGAGAAAATCCGCAAGTCTCCTCTCACAATCTGTTTTCCCGAATACGCTGGTAAATTATATCATAAAATACGTGCTTCTGTTGCTCTCGCTACTTTATCTTATGCGTTATCCAACGGTATCAGCTAACGGAACGTTGAATGCTCGCCTCGTAGGTGCGCAGGAGTACAGCGAAGCGGCTGCATACATCCAGGCACAGTTCGAAGCGAAGAACAAATCGACCACGAAGGAGATTTACTGCCACATGACCTGTGCCACCGACACGAACAACATTCAATTTGTGTTCGACGCAGTCACAGACGTCATTATCGCCAATAATCTGCGCGGCTGCGGTCTCTACTAGGCTAATTCTGTATTCTACGTTAAGCGCAAACGGAGGAGGAAAACGTCACCCACGACATGGCTGGCCGGACTATATTCTTCAATGGATTCGTGGTTCGTCTCGGTTCTACTCCGACGCGAGAAAGGGAGAAGGAGAGTGAGAGAGAAAGAGAGGGAGAGAAAAAGAGAGAGAGATAGAGAAAGACGACCCCTTTCGTTATCAATGCTGTGCAGAAGCGTAGCGGAACGTTTAGTTTGTCTTGTCTTATACTAACGAATCCGAGAAGCCGACGTCGTCAATCGTTCATGATGATCGGTCGGAGAAACGGCACGCTCTTTGGCGTAGGCAGCGGTGAGGAACAATCGATTGCGGGAGAGAATGCGTGCTCTTCAGAACGGAGACGGCGAGCCATCGTTGGCTTTGATCCTCGGAAAGGGAGCAGATGTCGTTTTCGCAGGAAACGAGATCGAAGTGATCGAGGGGCGGTTTCGCGAGGGTGATGTCACGACCTTATATATAGTACACGTGCCGAAGAAACGTGAAAGAGATCTCAGTTTATTCAAGCGCTTTAGCACACTCGACCGTCGACGGTCGACGAAAACCGGCGAGTCCTGCACAAAAATTGAGTGAGTCCGTGGACCGTTCGATCGATGGAGACTCTGGCGATCGACGTTGAGAATCGTCGAGGCGCGCGCGCGCGAGAGGGAGAGAGAGGGGCACTTTTTGTAACCGCGCGAATCTTCGAGCTTCGTTCTCGTTTCGCTGCAGAAACGCTCGAGCATTCCATGACGCTCCACGCGGAGGAAGAGAGAAAGAGAGTCACGCGTGCGCGCCACGCACACACGAGTCGAGGACCTTTTCCCACAATTTTCGCACACAGATTTTACTAAGCGCACTCGAAAAGTTCGGTTTATATATACACATATAACACATTCATATATTCTCTTACGTCTCTCCTTTCCATCGAGGGAACAAATTCGCGCGCGATCGAACGTATCTCTCTTCGCGGAGCGCCGACATGCGTTTTCCGGCAAATTTGCATTTTGATAAAGCGGAGGCGAGCGGCCCTCGAGGGCCCGCGACAAATGATGCAAAATTTTGTAAAGAGAGCAACGGTATCGAACATCGCGAAGTGTCTCCAAGCTCAGTTGATTACTTCTCGTAATGTAACGGTTAGATCATTCTATTTTTACTTTACGTCATTTCTATACGTCATGCAATTACCACGCCAGTTAATAACGACGACCACGCACACGGGGTTATTCCTAGGCACAGGAGCATTACAGAACACAAATGTCGATCCATACGCACATACACATACGCGCATAAATTATTTTTCACGGTGGAGAAAACTTTATTCCCTTCGTTAACGATCGTCGCAGAGTGTCATGTACAGTATACTGTTAGCGCACGTATACACACGAATTTCCAGACACAGATTATATACACAAGACCGTTGTCGAGCCCTTGAAATCCTCGCGCGACTTCGAAATCATCCGTTTCGCCGCTCTGCGAAATTTCCCGATGGGAAGTATTAGAGAAATGAGAAAAAAAAAAAGGTCATTTCTACGCTACGAGATAATCCGCGGTTATTCGTTCGCGCGGATGATCGAGGGGGGAAAAATTTTGCGAAGTATAGCGAGACTTCTTACGATTAATAATAATAATAATAATAACAATAATAATAAAAAATGATTGTCGACAGTTTACTGACGGTGATTCAAGATTTTCACGGTGGACGCTCCGTGCGTTCGAGCAGGGACACACGTATGCACGTGCCTGTGCGTACACACAATTTCTGGGACATCCTGCGCACACACGTAAACGCAGCGCTGCGAGCGATTCGCGGGAAAAATCCTAAGAGTGTATTTTTCTAAGTGCTTCGTTTTTCTTCCTTTCCGCTTTCTTTTTCCAATTATACCGGGGCGTACCGACAATACTGGTGGTTAAGTTCAGCGTACGGAAAAGGGCGGGGTTGGGCGGGGGGAGGGGGAGGGGAAAGTATACGGAGAGCGTGCACACACATGGGACCTCACATTTAGCGGCGCGTGCACCAGCGCGCGCGTATAACCGCGTTATCGGGACAGAACAAGTAAGAGAATCTCGTTGCGCACAATCGTACTGTATACTCGGCTCTATCTCGCATAAGTTATATTTTATTACACGGTGACCGTTGGGGGAGAGATACCGGCGAGAGAAAACGAGCATCATCACGGTGACGAGCGTCGTCACGTTTCGTTCAATCCGAATTGCTTTCACGTCAGAAAGGCGGTAGGACAGTTATAGGCGTGGTGCAGAGGAATAAACGCGTACATCGACTCGGGTGACGAGAAGTACAATCGTCCGAGGTACTGGAGATATCGAGCCCGTTTTGTCGTTCGACAGTTAATCCCGTTTGAGATCAGTACAAAGGTTCTTATAGAGTAAAAACACGACACGGATTGCCCAACGAAAGGGGAGAGGTCGAGAAGCGCAAACGGGACATATCGGGGGCTGACGAATACGCTTGAAGCGAGTCGGCTCGGAGATATCGAACGCTGATACTTGCACTCGTCTGACACTTGAAGAAGGATGCACTCTAAAATGCTTTTGAACGTTTGAGAGCTAGACATTATCCGCGATAACTTCCACACATCTTGTAGACCTCGTTAGGGGAGTTCGGATATTCTCCACGGGAGTATCGAGTACCGTTGGTTTCGCTTCGCGAACCGCCACGATTTATACCGATGCGATGAAGTATATCGATACTTTAAGAGACGAGCCTCCGAGTGTTGGCAGCGATGCTATACTTATTAGTGATCTTAAATTATTCTTATCTATTCAAGTGTCAGACGAGCGTTGACAGCCGACGCTTCTAAGCAGATTCGATTTACGAGTAGCCGAATAGTTGAATGGCAGTTCGAGGCCGTCATCAGCGAGACGAGGTAAATCGTGCTTTGTGACTTTAGTGATAAAGTATTTATTACGGAGAAACCAAAAAAAAAGAAGTGTAAGAAGTCTCAAACGTACCAAATACAGCGCGTGCCAATGCGCATGATTTAACTTTTTAGTCTAGCTACGTTAGAGTATCCGCGATGGGCACCCCGGTAAGCCGTGCTTCCTGTCGAGGGAGAGATCGGACACACGACACGGGATTAACGCTGGCGGTCGTTTTGTCGCGAGACACGCGGATTCGACCGATCACAAGCGTCGGTTTTCGGCGTTCGTACAAGAGTGCTTAAAATTGCTTTAATTATTAAATTATCGTATTAACTGTACTGCTCGAACAAATTTAGCTACTGTGACTGTGTGAAGAGGGTCAACTGTGCGGCCGAGACTTCGATTGATTCGTTAGAGGAGACGATCGATTAGGGTGTCGGTCGAATCCGGCTACTCGCGCGCGACTTGATCACTACATAGTTAAACCGTAAATGCGGCGGGCACGTGAAATAGGGGCAAGAGAAATAGGAAGCGAAATCGAGCACGAAAACGTTGTCTGGGAGATCTCTTGCCTCTCGTTCGACGAGAGTCAAAGGTTCACCCCCTCAATTCTGCTCGATTCGCCTTCCTAAAATAATTCCACGCGAATCTGAGAGATTTAATGAAAGAACAAACGCGGAGTAACGTAACTAAATCGAAATCATTTGGAGATGGTCGTTTCTCGGCTCTAGTCAATCTATCGAGGAGCTCGTCGACGACATCGTCGGTGAAACCGTTTTACCGAGAGTATATTCGGGGGAGAGAGAGAGAGAGAGAGATTTATGGGAGAGGAAGGGGAGTTCGCACGCACTAACTTTAATCACGTAAAATCGTAAAATGTTCATAGATATCAAGTGCGCGAAATAGTAAAGATAAGCGCGGGAGGACTCGAAGCGCGGGAGCAGGAATACGCGAGAGTAATTTGTACGTCTACCGATGTACGAGCGTTGCTAGTCTATACATAAATTATTAGCATTGAGAAGCGATATGAGCGATGTTTTTGTGTACAGGCCGCATATTTTCCTGACGAATGTTTAGCAAGGAATTTAGGCGAAACGGGCGGCATGAGTGATGGAAATACAGAACAGCTCTGTGTACTGTTCGAACTATTCGATTGACATTTAAAAATTAGAGAGCCTCTAATAGGAAAAGAGTGGTAAACTGGTCACGTAACGATCTCCTTTGATTGATCCATTAAAGCTTCATAAATTTGATGTCTGGGAGCAATCAGAGGAGAGTCACCGTCACATGACACACCAGTTTGCCACTCTTTCTAAGAGGCTCTCTAATAAAAATCAGCGGATTCGATTAAAAATTGATCAGTCGGACGACTGTAAACAGCGGTATAAGACGAGATTGAAAGACAGGCGAGTAGTTGATCGCGCTGCGATAAGACAGATGTACGTGTGTCTCGAGTCTGTATATATGTATAATATTGTATTATATATAATGTAATACTATAATATATAACAATAATATAGTATTATGTGATACTATATATTAAATGTAATATACGCTCGAGACACGCGGAACCACCTCTATCGTGTACATCGTCGCGTAACACGTGTAAAATTCGTATGGCGCACGATCGGATCGGACGAGAGTCTCATCACCGCGTTTTCTCTCGCGTCTTTCACCCCGCCGTTTCTCGCTACACGCGTATATATAAGCGAGCTCTCTCCCTACGAGGCACATATACACACATACACTTCGCGACGCACATTTCATTTCGTTTCATCTCACATTCGTGTCACAGTCAGTCGTAACGGGCTTCACCGTCGGACCAAGCGCGACGATCCGATATCTTGGACACGTCATCCGAGATAATCTCGCAAGGGTGGCCTAGTTCGTGCATCAACATCGGAAAATTGAAGTTTTCCTTCTAAGCGATTCATTTAACGACGAAATGTTTCGAACAATCTAAAAACCGTAGCCGACGTGAGAGACGTCGAGAAAATTGCGGTACCTTTTGAACATCTTCACGTTTAAAACGTTTGTGATAAAATCGACGAGTTTTTTTAGATTTTTCTATTTTATTTTATTTTATTTTATTTCCATTTTATTTTACTTTTTGTAGAAGGAAAAACAGCGCGATTATTTTTAATTCACCGAGGCGTTTTTCCGGACAGCCTTTATTCGCAGGTGTACCTTACAGGAGTTTTATACGTAGCGATATGGCGATTGCGCGCAATGATCCATGTCACTTTTCATATCAATCTGCGAATCGCGGTAAACGGGGAAGGCAAGCGCGAAAGAGAAGTCCCTTCGGCGCGGTTTCGTTGACGAGGCAACTTGATCGCGGAGCGCGGAGAATTGAGAATCCGGGAGGGAGTCATCTCTGCCGCGAGGGATCTGTCCGAGGGGTAAATCGAGTTTCTCGTTGATGGAAGCGACTAACTTGAATCGACAGCTAATACTTTGCGGAACGAGATCGATGAGGGGATTTACTTTTTCGTCTTTGTTCATTGGCGACGGCACGGGACGGCTCGCGTGAAAACGTTGCAACTTCGTGGCGTGAAGCAGTAGCGGTTTTTGTGCACGGTGGTGTGTTTTTTTTTACAAAACGTTTTCTCTCTGCGGGGGGGGGGATGTACTATGTATTGTATAAAGATGATAGCTGGATTTATACGTCGAACGTGTTGAGTGTGTTCGCTATTTATTTTTATTTTTAAAAATATTTAGTCTCTCGTCGGTATTTTTATCTATTGAACATAGTCCGCTTTTACGTTTCGTGTAGCGAAAAGTTGCCAAGTTTTCACGATGAATCCGAGACAGTGTCTCATCGGATAGTCCCTCCCCCCCCCTCCCTCCCCCCGCCCCCGTGTGATAGCGCGAGTTGCTTCGTGGCACAACGTGTGCGACTTAATTTCGCTTGGTGAAACTGTATCCGTGATGCGAGAGTCCTTTTTATTTTGTATTACTGTCCCTAAGATTAGTGTTATTGACTGTGTAGTCTCGCGATAACGTAGCTGTATTATTCATTATTCACCATGATTGCCATATTGTTGTAAAATTAGCTTAATACACAAGACAGCCGGTAGAAGCTATTGTGACAAGTAATATATATATAATTATACATACAAATATATAATTATATATAAATATAGAGATACGTATTAGTTATACTACTGCTAAGTCATACTTTTATGTGTGTATGCGTGTGGCCGCGCGGACGGATGGATGGCACGTATGTGTGTAGCATTTCTAGTCACGTAATCGAACCAAAAAAAAAAACAGAAGAAAAACGTAACAACTAAATGTCTACGCGTACATGTACGTACACGTGTATACCTGACATTGTTCGCTCACTTGAGTTTGTGCACAGCGTGTCCCAGACCCGCCAGGAAATGCTTTATGGTCGGTTTTTTTTTTTACGACGAATTTGGTGTCGAATCGCGGGAATAAAAGAAAAGAGCTTCTCTTGAATTTAATTCATTACATTTAAAATATGAAAGCTCTTTCTTCTCGAAGAATAATATGTGACCAATACGAACCTGTTCTTCGGAGCTCGATTTCAAATCGAGCTAAAATCGAGACTCGAAAAGCGGAAAATCGCAAAATCGTCGAATTGGTCGTAACGTGCTGTTCGTAAAGCAATTCCCGGTAGACTCGGTACATCCTGTATGCAGCGTAATTGCGAGTGTAATTGCGCGCTTCTCACGTAAGGAGGTAAGGGAAAGAACCGCGGGATTGATCGGGAACACGGCGTGAGGAATCGCGTCAACCTCTTAGAGACTGTGTGCCGTATAAACATTGCATTTCCAAGCAGAGATTTCCTTACGGAGATTACTTTTTATTCGATCTACTTAGTTTTTTTACTCTGTCGTACTTTTTTTTTAATCTGTCGTTTTCTTTATGTTTCTTTTTTTTCTTTTCTTAATTTCGTCGCGAGAGGAAGGAAGAGTCGGAGGGAACGCGGCTAGGCCGCCCTGAAGGGCTTTCGCGTTCGCGAAAGAAGTCGAAAGGGACGACGAGGATGACTTTCGAAGAGATACACGGCCTCCCGGTAAAAATCCACTATAACGACGACTATAATGCGAGGCGAGGTGAAATTTACTGTGCCGACAACAGCCGCGACACGTTCGCTATGCATCCTATCATATATAAAAAAAGAAGAAACAACAAACGTGCTCTCTCTCTGCCGTTTATCACGGTTGAAAGCGAGCGTAATACAGTAAATTGTGTGGGAGGATTAATTATAGCGTTATATCGTAATTATAATGATTAATGGTAATTATTATAACACACTGGTAATGATAAAGATAACTACAAAAAAAAAGAATAACGACGTTTAATTGACGATCAGTAATCAAGAGCGCACGATATTTCATGATGCATTCATAGTTTAATAATCATTATTTGATTTCCGTTGTGAAAGAATGATGTGTAAGGGTCTTATTACGAGGGGGATGATCAACAGGGGAGAAAGGGCGAGCGTTACACAAAAGATAAAATGAAAAAAAAAAGAGTGAAACGTCTCATTATATGAAGTTACCACCATGGAGAACCTTTCATTATATAAAATTATTATGTAATAATTGTCCATACATCTTAAAATGTCAAAATAAACTAATAATGAAAAAAAAAATTATCTCTGTCTATTTCTTACTTATTATCTATTTAAATCCAACCAAATCGCGAAAATCGTCGCGTTACAATTATTACTTATTATATTTCTTGCGATTTAAGCAAAACACAACGATCTAGAATACTTGTGTACGTATCGTCTAATGATGGTTTTTAAGAATTTAAAAATAAATTAATGAACGGAGGCTCTATTAAATCCATATTTTTAAAATATTTCAAAACGCTTCTTAATGAATTAAAATGCATTTAAATGTCTTCGCTCTACAAAGGATGAATCAACAGCTGCCAGTTTTACTCACATGCGGGTGTTGATTAAATAATAGCCTTGATAAAAAAAATATGATCTGACAAGTTGCAGTAAGACAAACTAATTGCAACTCGTAGATAAAATAATATATTATTTTTCATATCTATTTATATTAAATATTAAAAACTATCAGATATTTTAAGAATTTATTGCTTTTCTCAATTTATAAACTTCTTTAGGTAATGCATTACATGATATATACCCTATATAGTTACTACTTATTCTGCTACGAATGGAATTAATTTTCGATTGACAAACAAGGATCTAGATTTATCGAATTGTTAGACGAATAACTTCAGCATTGATATCGAGTTTTACTTCAATTCTAATGAGAAATCATAACCCTACAAACCTCGAAAGTTCAACTTATTAAACTACATATTAAAATACGACAAGGAATCTACTATTTTCGGGGTGTACATTACGAGATTATTTAGTTCATTCGGTCGGGAGTTTGACCGGTCTAATTGTCCCACTGAATGATTACGACATGCGCATCGCGTCAAGATTCAAGATAGAGTGTGCAACAGAGTGCCTCGATGCCGTGTCGCATCTGAAATGAGCCCGGCAAGTGATAACAATGTCGCACCGGATAATCTAACATGTCATCAGCTCATTCGCGCCATTTCAAGATCCTTTGGATAACGCTGCAGGTATCTCCTGATATCGACTCTCGTTTGGCAATTTCATTTTCTTTATACTGTCGCACGATAAACTTTTATAAAACTCATTAATTGTTTCATTATAAACAGACCGGACTCGAAATAATTACTAATAATTCTATTTATTAATCTCGACACATTGTTTTAAGTAATTCAAATATACGTACTCAGATGGTACTCGTGTTGATTGGCCCTCATCCCGAAAGCGCTTCCTCGCATTCACACCTCTACGTATCGCAGTTCCGCTACGTTCCCCAGTATCATCCATCGAGGAATCCCGACTGTGCGTCACGATGGCTCCGGCGTGAGTTTCACAATGAACGATTTCGCCACGAGAATGGCCGACGTTTCTCGACGTTCGAACAACCGCTCGTCGATCAAGATCATCCGTGGATCGAAATCAGAGCTCTCTTGGTTCGTTGTTCACGAACGCGGAAAGAAACGTAGGCAAACGCAGTTTTCATTGAAATTATCGGAGTTGGAATAATCTGGAAAACAAAGTAAATAATTTATTAATATTTTCTTATATCGATAGTAGAGAAACGTCGCAATCGATGCGAAATTGTAGGAGAAAAGTGATAATTAGCATGAAGATAAACAATGTTGGAAAGGTATCGTTAAATATACATTATTAATCTATCGAAATCGTTCAAGCCACTATTTCGGTTTAGCGATCGTGATTGTAATTTCATTTTATTTTTTGACTTTTTAAAGTTTTAATCTATTAAATAATTATTATAAAATATGTATATTCCACAAGACAAACACGCGAGAGGAATTCGTGCTGGTGGATCATGTATTGGATCCGGTAAAAATGCGGAAAATCCGATTGCGTAATCCGTATGTCATAAAAGTCCGCCAAGAACCTTTGCTGCATCTATATGGACTGAGATTTCAAGGTGTAAGTGTGCATAAATTAATTTGATTAATTTGATGATTAGTCTTTAAGTAATAATATATCATTTAGTAGCAGATTTATAATAAATAACAAAATAGAATTTTGCTAATACATTGCTATGATAATATAAGGCGTAATTATTTCTCTACAAAAATTTTCCGGGTAAATTATCAATTAAGTTTGTCAACGATTTGTTGATCGAGGCCGACAAAACAGTTTCCATTAACGTAGACGTGGATTATCTACGTCTGATACGGAAATGCGTATTAACTGATGATAAATTCTTGCCGTTTTAATTCTCCGCGTGCTTGTATAATAGAAAGAAAATATTTCTCCTACATATCGATCGCTTTAAATTAAGATTGTTAACGCGGAGGCAAGAGAAGAAGTCGTTAATAATTATCAAGCAAACTTCACTGGATGCAACGACGGCCTAGACAACCCAACTTGTGGTCAAATGTTAGTTAATGAAGAGCCAATACCATTTAGTCAAGTAAGAATAATATAAAAAAATATATAATCGTAATAAGATATCTGTAAAAAGCATTCATCTAATTTTTTAACAAAAGGATAATTTTATTGAAGTCATAAATTATTCTACAAAATTTTTTTCTAATAAAAAAGATAGATAAATAGCAAATTATGTATCTAGAAAAAGTAAAAAATGTGACTAGAGAAGTATGTAAATATATTTAGAACAAAGGAATAAGCAAAAAACAAATTATATAAATAGTAAAGATAGAGAAATGAGAATAATTATATCAATTTTAGAAAAACATTGATTTTCTTATATTAATATGTTAAATACATTTATATTACACATTATGATAATACATCAATTTAGCATTCAAATTATTGTTAACTACTATTGCATTATTAATTACTGTTTGCATCTCACTGGTCTTGTTGCATTCAATAAAGCTGTTAACACTATTATAACATTATTAACCCTTTCGTCCCGAGTGGTACACACCACAAATATTTTAAATTATCGAAAAGCTATAAAATGCTTTATCGACGAGGGAATATTGTCTTCGATTCGGAAAAGAGATTTATATTCAGGGACGAAAGGGTTAAATATTTTCTTACAATTATGTCGTAATTACGATCGAACCAAATCATTCGAAAAAAAAAAAATTTCGAGATTCCATCGTTTACACGATAGTAGTCTGCCCAAACTTCCCCGACAATGGTGAGCCATTTAATTAAACTTTAGGCAAGTTATGTCCCTGCAGTAAGAGCCGCGCGCAACACAAGACAACGGATCGCTTTCAGGGTTTCTGCTGTTCTTGCGAGGACGCGCATCGTGCCGAAAGTTTCCGCTCGGTCGCCGCCAAGTCAAACTATTACCAGCGGGACGATGCCGCAAACAGAGCTCGCAACAGGTCCGTGTCGAGCGCGAATTTATTTGACAATTCGGAGGCACGGCGCCAGGTCGAAACGAACGGGAACGGGGAGCACGACCGCCGTCGAGTCGGTTACGGCGACGCGCGAGGACGAGTAACGAGCCGCAATACTTCCGCCGTTAATGGCCCACTTGGCGAGCGAGCGTCTCCACTTCGGGAACAACAAAAGGAAGAACAGCTTAAAAACAATTCGGCTCGACGGCGCACTCGACCGCTTGAGGGACTTCCCAGGGCAGGGAGCGCGAATCGCGAGGAAGTCCTGCCGTCCGTACTGAAGAACGTGTTCTCCGATCCGTCGCCGAGCAAGGGGAAGATCGAGGCCTATATTGATGCCGTATACGAGCAAGCCATGAAGGAGAGAGCTATGAAGCAAGCCATAAAACAGGAAAGCGACAGGAGAAATAAGGATTTATTGGGCGAAAGCGATTTATCAGCCGGAAGTACGAGCAACTCAAGGAGCAGATTTCAAGAATCAGGTCGACGGTTCTTTGATCGGCGGATTAGCGACGGCCGATCTTCGATTTATGGTCCAGTTACGGATAATCATCAAGATACAACTATAAAATTTACAAATATAAGTAATTATGATTCTAAAAAATTAAAATCTCAGGAATTCAGTCAGCAATTCCTCGATCATCGGAACGACGGTCGATCATTGATTCGGGGATCAGTCGCGGATGATCCACGAAATCCAACTACGAGACCAACGAGGTTGGTAGGTGAACAGGGTTCTGCGAAAACGGACGGCGAAGAGGATAATCGGGAGTTCCTCGAGAAGTGCGACAGGTCGGTGAATTTTTCAGAAAGTGGAAATCGCCAGGAAACGGTGGGGGATCGATTTCGTGGCGCAGCTCATCCTGAAAATACCTTCGATTACACACCGACGATGTCCCCGGCAATACACCCGTCGCGAATTCCGGAAGAGAGTCAATTTTCGAGGCGGACGGAGAAGAATGCGTTCGTCAACGGCGATAACGCGTCGCCCGATAACGGAAGTTTTTTTCCCACGACCATTGAATTTTTTATTCGATCCGGGCTTGTCCCGTGCGGGGATAATTCTGACGAGAATATTAATTACGGTGTCGCGTCGCCGACGATAAAATCGAACGGCTTCGAGGAGGGCGTGTTCGCGCTGCTATCGAAAATTGTGATATCGGAAACGCGCTCGTCGACGGTGGGTGAGGCGGGACAGCGTGGATTTAGGGCATCTTCGGAGAACATCTCGGGTAACGTTAACGCGTTGAGAAACGCTTGGGTCGTGAGGAAGAACTTAAGTGCCGCCGCGATTCGAAGAGGTAATACGAGCGGCGAGGAGAGAAAAACGGAAAATGCTAATGTATCGACGGGAATCTCGGCTGTCCCTGCTTTTACAAGATTACGAAATCTCTCCTCTTCCTCCTCCTCCTCCTCCGTTGGAATCTCGCGGCTGGAAGAATTATCTGCGCCCGTCGTCGCTGCTCGTTCCGCGGATAAATCATTGACGAAAATCCCGGAATCAAAAACTCGCGGCTCGTTATCGGCGAACGAGACACGGAGATTTCCCGACGACCTCGTCGGGGATTTGCACGAGGGCCGAGAGTCGCGCGGAATGTACAGCTCGCCCGAGCGAGCGCCGCAAGACGTGAACTTGAAAAACAGTTACAAATTCTGGAAGACCCGTCGGAAGTTCCGGAAGTCGAAGGGCGCCGACAAGTTTCGCGGGGACAAGGGCGTCGGGCGGGGGTGGAAACAGCCGGGGAAGTCGAGCCGTGGATTGACGCGGAAGCGCGCGTCGCCGGATCTTAAGCGCGACAATTTTCGGGACAAATTTCCGAAGCGCGAGCGACGTTTCCGAAGGCATCTCCACACCGGAAGGGAAGTTTTTAATATCTTGGACGCTCGCGGTCGGAGCAACGGTCTGACAGGTGAAGGCTCGCGCCGCAAAGCGCGAGTCTTTACAGATTACTACACTCGACCCGAGGTAGCCCGCTATAGGCGAGAGACGTCGAGTATTGCCGGAGACAAAAATCCGAGGAAACAAGTGATTTTGGAGTCCGGTCACAGGAAAGTCCAATCCGGAGAGAACGATAATCCGTTCGACCTCGACAATAAAGACAGCAGAAAGAACAGCGTCGATAAGCGGATCGAGGACAAGTTCGTGCGAATAAGCAACGTCCTGAAGGAAGACTCTACCGAGGCGAGAATTATTCAAGAAACTCCGGGGAATTTTGAAGTGGTTACAAAGAGCGAAGCCGCGAAAGCCGATATCCCGAAAATTCAGAATGAACTGGGAGAGAATTTGTTTTCGCGAGAAAGCGGCAAATCGGGCGGATCATTGGCAATTCACGGCGACGAAATACCGCACGGGCAGCATGCGGAATTAATTGATACGCGTCAGCGATCAACTGCGAACGAAAATTCTCACGCGATTACGGAATCTAGGGCGGTAAACAACGAAGTCACCACGATTACATCGCTAATTACGCGAAAAGATTCCACCGACTGTAAAGGATCCGTTTTTCTCAAGCTCATGGTCGGTCCTTCTCCGCCAACATCGATTACGGAGAAGCTTGATTACGATGTCTCGAGAGAGATTAATTTTAAATTTGATAAATCCAAAAATCCAATTTATGCAAGCGAATTCGCAACGAGGCAGACGGAAGTTTTCGTGCAGGCACTTTCATCGAATGCTCCACGGGGCGAGAACGTCGACGGCTGTTTCGAGATCACCGGTGAGCCACTTGGAACATTATCCGGCAGTTGGGCGAGTAGTTCCAAGGAAGCGACGTCTCCCGAAGCGGCGAACAATCACAGCGAGGGCGAGCGAGACGAAACGGAGAACGCGAGATTCCACGAACTTAATAACAACTCTTCGCGGATGATTGCCGGCAATTCCGTGGAGCCCGAAGGCCCGCCGATCGACCGGGCGCTCTCACCGCGCGGTAGCGTTTCAGTTACTGAACCTGAGGGAGTCTCGTTGAGACTCAACAAAGAGGAAATAAGTTCTCGTTATACCGAAAATCCGCTTCCGGAAAATTCGAAGGGCTTTCCAGGGAGGTCCCGAGAGAGGGAGGAGATTGCCGAGCTGGTGGACCGGATCGTGAGACAATACGCAACGTACACGCCCGTCATGCCGGACATGCCGAACTTCGACGAGATCACGGAGGCGGGAACCCTGCCACCGGTGGAAGAGACGACGGTCACTCAGTTCACGACGACCTTGGCGACCACCACCAGGATCACGGACGTGGCGTTCCGACCTTCGATGCGTCCGTTGAGAACGACACCGCTTCCCGGGCAGGAGATGCACGACGAGATCTCTCTAGACGAGACCACCTTCGTGGAGGAGACGGAAGCAACGACGACCAGTCGCGAAACGACTGTCTCCAAACCCAGACCTGAAAGACCTAAGGCGAGCACCTCGTCAAGAGCAAAAATACGAAGAGTGTCGAATAAAACTGAGAGAAACGGGAAACGACGACAGAAAATTGCCAATCGCGTGACAGGCATGAAAATGACAGATGTGGAAAAGAAAGTTGAGACTCACCCTTGGTATCGCACTACAGAAGTACAGCAGATAATAGCAGCGAATCGATCTGTCCAGAAGATTGAAGGAGGAAAGAAGAAGCACCGCTACAAGTCGAAGACAGATTCTTTTCAGAGCACTTCCCCATCGTGGACTTCATCAACGACGGTCTCTTCCGGTGTCGGGCAGACGAGAGGCAAGAGATCGGACTTCATCCGCGCGGCGGGCGATCGCGATTCCCTTATCTTCTACGACTACGAGGGCGAGGAGGATGAAGGGGTTCGGCGAAGTGGAAGAACGAGTTTGAATAAAAACGAAAAGTCACCGAATATAACAGAGCCGACTGAATTACGTTCCAGAATTGAAAAAAGATTAACCGGCGAATTGGATTATCCTGCGAGCCGCGGATCCTCTCGGCACAGTTGCGAGAGTCGAGATCAGACACAAAAGCCCAATGCCGCTCTTCGGGATATTGTAGCGCGTAATGTCGGGCTTCGTATCGCTGGGGATGATCTCGATTCGAGCGCGCAAGAGAAGGAGCGGGATATGCAAGATAATCTGAAGAACTTCACCGTTCTAAAGTTGAAAGACGACGCAGTTCGTACATTCGACAAGGACGTTTCTTCGCGAGATCGTGAAGCTATGTCGGTGTCGTTCGGCATTCCGCCCTCGGATCCATCGGCAAAAGTTTCACGGACGGATCTTTCCGGATCGGTGCGCGAGAGGCTGGAGCTAGATCGTGGAACGGAGAAGCGGGGAACGTTCGGCGAGCGAATGGTGGCCGAGATCGACAGGGTCGCGGTGGTGCGAAAAATCGCGGTGGACATGTCGGGGAGCGCAAGAAGTCCCGCGGGCGCGGCCGCGGGCGCGGCCGCGGGCGATTTGTCGGATCGCCGCGGCGCGGAATCGCCGGGGAAATCGTCCGCGGGCGGGATATTACCGGCGGGGAGCGCAAGAAGTCCCGGGAACCGGGACAAAAGTCGTGAAACGGATACTGTCATTCGCGGCGTGAAATTGATGATGCCGGGCGATAAGGGGGAGACACGCGAGCTCGACGTCGCGGCTAAAAGTACCGGTAAAAAGATCCCGCCGTCGTTCGCCGCCGCGCGACGACAACGACGGGGACGCGAGGACGCGAGGAAGATTAATGAAAATCCCGCGGACATCCGGGCACGTCGCGTTTCCGCAGGGGTGCGGTACCACCGACGTTCTCGAGACAAGGTGTACAACGTCGTTCGCAAAATAATCAATAAGATCGAGGGAAAGTCATCGGTGTCGGACGACGAGGCGGATACCGAGGTGGGATTCGCGGGAAGTGAGAAGCGTGCCGTTCGGTCGTCGCCGGATTGGCATCGATCGGGCGGACGACGACTGCTGTCGAGCAGCGGAGGATCCGACCGCGTCGCGAGTATCGACGACGAATATTACGCGAACGACGCACGTGAGACGGATCGGGAGAATGACGCGAGCGATAATGAAGCTATTGCCCGCCGGAGGGATGATTTATCGTACCTCGCTGAGAATCCGCCCGGCCGGCGTGAGGATCGAGATCCGCGGAAATTGGTGGCTGAAACGGATCGATTGGCAGATGCGAGTGCCGATGCTGCACGAACTGTAATGCCAAAGGAAAGAACAGTTGCTGTCTGCGATGCAGCGGTGCTCTCCGACGATGTGCAGGCGAACAGCGAAGAGGCAATCTCGAGGTTATTAATACCAGGATATTAATTTCGATACAGACGGATTCTCATTTTTAACGCAAAAATTCCTACTTCTCTGTGGTACTCTATTAATGTATTGAGTGATTAATATCCTTTTTTTTTATTTTTTTAGAAACGAGTCGATTTTTCCATAATTCTTTATTGTTATATAAATTCTCAAAAACTTGTTATTGATAATATTTCATGTTACTATGATAAAATCGTTGATTAAAAATGTTTGTCGTAGCAGTATTAAAATTATCTGACGAGAAAAAGCAATGTATAGAAAATTGAGATAAAACTCGTTTCAAAAGAAATTCGTGGTAATTATTTTAAGTAGATAGATAATAAAAAAATTAAGTATACGTATAGATATAAAAATACCTGTTTAAATCTATACGTTTATATATAATTAGCCAATTAATATTATCATTGATTATAGTAGCAATTACAGGAATAAAAAGAAGAAAGTTAAGAAAAAGAATACAGACTCTCAGGAGAGACCGCGCGATATCGAAGTAGTTCTCGAATCGACCGATCCTGCAAGTTACAACGACGATAAAACGTTAAAAGTTCCTCTCGAAGCAGAAGAATCTATTATCCAAAGAGTTGTCGATAATAATAATAATCCAGTACAGGAAAAAAGTTTTGATTCTAAAGATGTTTTAAGAAACTCTCGAACCTACGGAGAGATTATAAACGAGGAGCCATTTTCGCTTCGCGAGGCAATCAACGAAAATAATTCACAAGATGAATCTCTTTATGAAACTCAGTCGATATTTAATAGGGAAACTACAAGCTTCCCTGCTACGAGTAGTCGAAATCCATCGAGTGCTGGAAGAATGTTATCGAACGTCGATTTGTCATCAAGCTCGGCAGCGCCGAAAAACGAAGGGGGTATAAAAATTTCGCTAATTGGAAGGATTCAGGTGCACGGCGGTTTCAATCAGACCCCAGTGCTAATAAGCTTAGATGCCGTTCCCGACGGATTTTCAACAACACAGTCCTCGGTTTCCGCAGGATCGTCGAACACTATTAAGGTGATTGAAACTACCGCCATTAATCCCCCTCTAAATGATTCAAACGCGGAATTCACGTTTGATCTCATGTCCGTGAACGAACGTGCAAATGACGAAGCGAGTGATTCACTAAACACGATATCGGACGAGAGTCAGGAAGCCGGAAAGTCGAACGTGATCGACTTAACGCTACGGTCTCGCGAGAAGCTTTTCGATCTGACGGGAAGAAGTGCGGAGGAGCGAAAGACGACGGAAAAAAATCCCTCCCGACTCGAGAAGCGATTGGACAAGTATAACGCGAACACGAAATCGGCCAAGCAGGTTTTTCTAACGGATCACTCGGCCGAATCGAACGACGAAGTGGCTAGACCGAACGGAGAGATGATTTCCGAGCGAAACGGCGCGGGCGGCGGGTCGATCGACAAACTGGACTCTCGTTCGTCCGCGAATCCGGTGTATTTTCCAGACATTTTGGGATCCGTCCTGGTCAACAACGATAGCCTAAAAGATCAAGATGTCAACGAACCGCCGCGTCGAATCGAAACCAATCGATCCAGTTCAACCGAGACTGCAGACTTGTCGAATACCACTCTTCACGTCGTACCGTTGATGCGCATCGACGTTGCGAACGACGGAAGAACCGGGACGACGTGTTGCCCGTGGAACGCCACTTCCGGCGGTTGTTACAGGATGCCCGCGACCGTTCGGAAACTCGAAATTACGGTGACGACCCCGCGCGAGTTGCTAACTTCGAGCAATTATCGCGACGGCGATCCCGCTGAAACTTTTTCGCCTGGACTTCGCGAAACGACCGCGGATGACCGGAGCGCGGTAACCACGAAGTCCTCGCCGTCAACGCGATTGCAGAACGACGTTCTCGAAACCGCGACCGAACGCACGACAAACGAGACACGTTCTACCGCGACGCCGTGTGGCAGGGGCAACGGTAGATCGATTAATGCGATTCGCGCGAGGAGCATGATGACCATCGTGAGATTCATGATGAAACTGCTGAGAATCATCGCCGAGGAGGACGAAGAGCCGCCTTGTTCCAAGACTCCGATTGGCGAGACGGTGATTCACGTGGAGAATGTGGTTATTAACGCGTCGAGTCACGTGGAGCGGCAGGGAAGTACCACCGATAGGGCGATAATAAAATCAGGACGGACGAGGCAGGATCTTACGAGCGCTGAGTGGCGATCGACTGCAATCACGGAAAGGATACGCGAGAAATCGTCCACGCTGGGCGACGGTACTTTCGAGTCCTTCACCGAAGCGCCGTCGTCCTACCCGGCGGCGTCCACCTTGCCAAGCTCTCCCGATGAAGTGCCCGAGGACGAAAAGCTGCCCTCCACGCTCTTCGAGACCTCCACGGGAAGGGAGGTGTACACTTCCACTTTATCGAGCACGATTTCCTCCGCGACGCCCAGGTCCTTTCTATTTTACGAGCCCGCACGAAAGTCGCACCGCAAAGGCTTTCCCTCTCGGAAAGACACCGGAGTCGATCTAACGGGTGTAAAACAAAATTCGAGCGTTTCCTTTAAGGGTTCAAAGGACGAGTCGGGAGGGAAGAAATCACGATTGGACGACGGCCAGGCGAGTCGTTCGTCCTCGCGGCGGCGGGACCAAAACCGAAGTTCCGTCGAGCGATTTCACTTGGGTAAACAAGGAATTGCTACGACGAATCCCGAGGATAAAATCGGATCTCGCCGGGCGGGATATTTGGCGAGGAGTAAAAATGCCGGGTCGGGATCGACGGGTGTCGCTAACGATACCGTCAGGCGGATACTTCCGCGCGATATCGACGTCTCGCGGGGTGCTTTATTAGAAAGAGTCGGTGCCGCGAGAGAAAACAGGCCCGAGCGCTCGAAGTCGGAGGGGGCGGGGGTATCAGATCGGCGCGCCGAAACGAGAACGAAATTGCTTAACCGTTCCGCGAGAGGTGGTCCTGCGGGAGATTGGATCGGGGAACATCGGGCGGCCACGCGGCGACTGTCGATCGATAAGAAACTGCGGGAATTGCGCAAAGTACCGGGCGGAACTCCAACGCCGGGAAAAGTCGTATTTCGGCGCGTCCGCGGCAAGATTAACCGCCCTCCTGACCCAAATCTCGTTAGCGGTAGGAGTGATTCGTTTAAGATCGAAGGGAACGTCGCCGGAAATGGCCCGCTGGCAAAACTTTCGACCGATGATGCTTTATCCGTCGTCGGCGGTGGATTAAGTTCGTTAGAAAGAGAGGACGCCGCGGGAAACGCGATTGGATATTCGTCAACTTCTTCATTAGCAAACGATAACGTTGGCGCGTCTGGAATCGGCGAAGAAATCGTGGATGAACGTGCGAGGTTCGTCACGAAGAAACAGTAAGAAACTAAAAAATTTAGTATTATATATATAAAATAGTTAATTTCATTGAATTTATAATACATTTATTTATTAACGTTTTTATCGCTTTATTAAAAAATTTTATTACAAATTTTTTAACAAATTATTTTGAAAGAGAGCCATTCAGTTATAGGGGAAAATTTTTACATTGTCCAAGAACGCTCTCCGTGTGTAATTATAGTCTTATTATCTCCACATGACAGACGCCGTAATTTCACATTGTCTCGTAGCATTTCGAACAAGAAACGGGATGTCAGCGAGCGTCGCGATTTCCGGAAAGGTAATCGTGCATTTAGGAAACGGCAAAGAGCCGCGAGCCCGACAAAGAGGAAGACAAAGCGGAAAAAGAAGAGAAAGAAGGGCGGTCAGCGGACGAAAGATATTTCGGAGACTGCTGAAAACCTGCAGCGGCGTTTCAAGAGACACTTATTAATGATGTCCCTCGAACCGGAGTATGACGCCGATGACGCTGCGGCAAGATTTTCGAGACGCCACGTCGCCACGGAGGGAAGAAACGCCGAGAACTTGCGGAAGTCCGCGGGTAGCAGCGCGAGAGTACGGCGGCGCGGACGCGACGGCGACGACCGTACGGTCGATGGACCGGAAACCGATCCCGGCACGGCGCAAATCCGCGGTGGTCAAGACTGCACGGATCGCCGACACCCGCCGAATATCGATGCGGCCAAATATCTCGAATCCGCGCATTGTTTGCGCTTTAGTGATTTATGGTAGGTCGCCTATGGGGATTTAAGGGGATCGCCGACCGCGCGCGTGATTCATAACGAATATAACGTCTCATTGAGAAAGGGGATGCAATGGAAATGCAAACTTTTTCTCGATGATCTTATCAATCCCAAACGCGATAAGGTTAGCGAATTTGCGATTAGAACGGAAAAGGTAAAGAAAATATGATAAAATTCGGAAATTCGAGAAAGAGAAATTCAAATTGTAACAATAAATTGAGATGAAAAAACACACACAGAGAGAGAGAGAGAGAGAGAGAGAGAGAGAGAGAGAGAGACAGAAAAAACAGAAAATGTATAATTTTTCATACGTAAACCATGAATGCAAAGTATAAAATGTATGTATAACAGTATTATTTTTGTAAATTCACCGACTGAAAAATAATGCCATTATTTAATAAATAAGAGAAAACTTTTGCTTCATTCGTTACAGTTGAGTGTGTTGTTTTACCTGTCAATAAAGTTTATTAAAAATATTGCGAGGCAATCATGCATATAATAGCGGTGTGGGCCGACGGTTTATTAAAACATTAAAATGACGGCCAATGGCTCTCGATCACTTATTTTCAGTTTAGCACAATGGCTACGCGCGCGGCAACAATTGCGGACTGTAGATGCAACAAAAACAAAGATGAGTGCTTTTGTTTCGCGCCGCCTCTGTAGTTGACGTGCCGCAAATTAATTAACAGATAATCGATACGAAGACATTTTATAATGTTCGTCATATTTCAAAAAAAATCCCCCATTAATGTACTGTATCGACTTTCGCAACTTTCTCTTTGTCGATTATGAATTCATTCGTTACTGTTAGTCTGAAAATTGTCAAAGTTCGGTGAAAATAATCGCCAGAGAAATCATCTTTCAGGTATTCCGTGTATCAGTTGGAGGATCCTATCGTCGAGCACGCGGTATATCTTCAGGTTTATGAAAAACGCGCTTTAGCGAACGGATCGACTTACTGGGAGGATCTCACCGCAGATTCCGTAGTCAGGTGAGAGGGGGAGAGAGAGAGAGAGAGAGAGAGAGAGAGAGAAAGAATTTAAATGCGCACTCGAGTATGTTCGAAGCGGCCCCGATAAACTTCACGCTAGACAGGTCGTTTATGCCATCAGATTGGGCACGTTCAACAGGCACCATAGAGGCAGCCAAGATACGATCGCTTTCGCCTACAAGGAAGTGAAAATGCCGGGACGGGAGGAGGACGGGATTCCTAATTTGGATGTCGTTCGTGATCGTCTTTTGGTACCGTCGTCGGTGACATCAAAAGGCTCCGAATATCCTGCCGAAGGTATTGAATGTTTCAAGGCCTTCCTCTTGAAATTCGTACGCGCGAGTTTATATTTCCTAGCGGAAATTATCGTACGAAACGGAGAGCGAATAATTATATCTGATATCTAAAAGAACATTTTCACGATTTTTATCTATAATTAAAAAAAGTCAAATACATTATTTTATTTAAGACATGCCAAAAATGTGTAGCTATAATTTCATTTAAATTTTAATCTTTACTTATCAAAAATTTAATCATGATTTTGTGACAGTGAAATAACGAATACTGAAAGATAAAATTAAATCGAAGTTAGAACGCGTATATCACAAAAAATTTTCACATTTTTAACTATTACATTTAATAAAATTTACTATAATAATATATAATTGTGTAAGTATAACAAAATTTTCTGTAAGAATTTTAAAAACCTGATATTTTAAAAATAATACTCAGCTTCTTAATCTCGTCATCAAGATGACTTCACGAAAATGTTGACAACTCGAATAAGACATATTTAATATAAGATATATTATTAAATGATATTTTGTTCAACGTAGGCGGGTCGGACGAGTATCTCGTGGTGCCAGCGGGCAGCATCAACGAGAGCGGAAACGAGTGCGACAAAGCGGGCGTGGGATTCGCGGCGTTTGCGAGGCAACCGGACCGGTGCGGACGTGTCAGGGGTACCTGTTTGAAAAATCAGCCCCTGGCCTACCGTAGGCGCGACGCGGTACGTATGACAGGTGCAATAAATGAAACAACAACTGGAAATGCCCCCTTCCTTCCTCTTCCGTTCTCTCGGAGCTATCCGCGGCCGCGTCGTGTCGAGCTTCGTGCGAGCGCGCGAGAGACGCTCTAAGTGCCGTGTGTAACATGATTTATCGCGCACGAATTTAATACTTATACCCGTATAAAACGTTGCTGCGAGGGGAGATTTGTTCCCGGCGACGGGGACGGACAGTCGCATACAAATCGGTCGCCGGGTAGAGGGACAACGCGGATTTTTGTACGTCGGCCTTGTGATACGCGAGACGAGGAATTCGAGCCGTCTCGTTTTGGGCGAAAATACCAAATCTATCTCACGTTCATAAATGTCCGCAGCGACCGTCGCCTGCGAGCGTGCCCGTTTTGTTACGTTTTCGAATCATTGTATCCCGAATTCACGCTTTTCCCCCGGGTTCTATCGTGAAACGACGACGCATTGTACGCAGCAAGACTTTTTTGCAACGTGCAAATTTGGGATTCATCTAACATTTTTTTGCAGTTTTAAGATTTACGTTTTAATCAATCTCGAGCAGTCTCCGCTTTGAAGAGCTTACTAATTTGACAGTTCACTATATTTGACCTCTATGAACCTAAGATTCCCATCATTAAAAAAAATTCGACTATATATCTCATAATTATAAGAGCTCATTTATTGTTAATTTACTGCCGCGAATTTATTACTCCTGTTCATTGGCAGGAAATTAATATCAAAAGTGGGAATAATGACTTCATGCTATCCCCATTTTCTCGAAAAACGTTAATTATAGTATATAATCGAAAACATTTTTTTAATAGTGATGTTATGTTCACAGACGTCTATATTTGATCTTTTGCAAATACAAAAATTATAATTTTAACAAGAATCTGCGAGACTATATCAATACATAAATAAAAAATTATAAACCAAAATTTATTTATCGAGAAAGAGTAAGATTCATCGATTAGATAACCGTGTCAAACTTCGAAACCGTGTCAGAACTATGATACGTCATCGCGCGGTTTATCAGCGAGAGCAGACGACGGTCGCGCGTCACGAACATATGCCGGAAACCACCTCGCATACCCGCGAACATTTCCGCCAGCCGGCTGTCGAAGGTCGGGCCGCTGTTCGATCTAGTGTCACATGTCGACAGGAAGCTCGCGCGGCCGGGCGACCTGGTTGCTACTTCTTGAGCAATTTCGCATCCGTGCCGAGCGAGCCCATCAAGTACAGCGCGAACGGAAGCGGAAGTCACGAGTTCCTCGCTCTGGAGTACCATTCGCCGCACGTGTCTGCGATCGACATCGAAGTCGAGGCGGGTTACAATGCCGCCGCGCCCGCGGGAGGGTGAGTCTCGAGAGGAGCGATATCTATCTACCCGTAGACGACTAACCAGAGATTACCAACTAACCAGTTCGCTTACACTTCGCGCGCTAATTCCCTCGTAATCCGATTTTGTGATTACTCCAGAATGGCCCGAAGTTGGCTCTGCTGGGTATCTCTTCTTTGAAAGAAGTTTATTATCTGGCGTTTCGGGAGTAATGAACAGAAAAGCGACAATAAAACGCTTTAACGTCGCTAGATAATATGTTATATAAATGCTAAAATGTTAACAAATATTTAAAGTTTTTTGATATCATAATATAACGATATTTTATAAATACAAGTACAACGTAATAAAATAGAATATAAGTGTCCTAATAAAATATGAGGGTGTCTCATTGTAATTTTCCAAGTTTCTCAGATGTATAAAAAATTAATAGATAATTGTAGATGTTTTACAGATTAAAGCAAATTGATATTTGACCAAAAATGTTAAAGATAAGATTCTAATACTAATACAGATTCTAATACTTTCGATTATTTAAAATTTTTTAATCTTAGATCTCTAGGTCGCATCAGCGAAGTGCACATAGACAGCAGAGCATTCGATCACACTATAGTGACAGTCGTGATGACCAATATGGGGCTGACTTCGATGTCCTATCGATCAAAAATCGCGAAATGCCCCGACAATCTTCCCGAGTCTTGGATAAACGCTACGTTTCCTAGGAAAATAATTCAACCTCGACGGGATCAATCAGTCAGCTTGGATCTCTACGGCGAACTGCCCATAAACGAATTTCATTGTTCTGGTAAATCTGACAACTCAACGAGAATATATTGTAATAATTTTTAAAGGTCATGTTTAAATACTATTTAAACAATGTCAAAACACTCAGATTTACATTCGGTTCTATATTCATTTAACCTGAATCAGTTTTTTTTTCACGAATGTGACAAAAAGGAGGAGAAACTGATTTATGTAGCTATGTACAGCCGTAAAGTTACCGCAGAATATTGTAGGCAATATTTATTGTCGCAGTGCGCGAAATATATAATAAAAAATTCGAGCAAATGTTGAGTGGTTTTTAGTGCAATTGCTGAATCGCCTCGGAGGACTAGTGGCTACCAGGAGAATAAAAATACGGAAAATGGATCATTGTTCCTGCATGCTGCACTGCTTATGTGCGTGCTTGGGCGACGCGCCTGGCACACGCTGCAAACCGATGTCGCCGGAGCTTTATCACGTCGCTGGATTTCGCGGTCCTGTTCCTGCAGCCTCCCACGAAATTTTCGCAAAAATCGTAAACGTCCTATTTTTCATCGTCTCGTCGATACTGCTCTTGCTTTTCATGGGTCAGTAATCGTTTCACTTAACAATTTCTAAACTTATCTATTGATTCTCGAAGATTTTGATGGATATATTTCTACTTATACGATTTGTAATTTTTTTCTAATTAATAAAGCGTCTTCAATGTATTATTATTTTTTATTTTTTCTAACAAAATTCCTAAAAAAAATTTTAATACTTTATATTAAATGCTTTATATCTTTATAATTTAATTCTTTTTATTTTTCTCCATCATTATACCAATTTTTGATATTTATAATGATACGAATTTATGAGTATACATTTCCCTCAGGTCTCCTGAAATGGTCGATCGGCTTGTATGTACCGGCGATAGGTCGTTGGGGTTTGGATTCTCTATTGGAAACCGGCGGAATGTCAGAGTACTTCGAACGAGAATTAAAATATAAATGCGTGGTGACGGATGAGCATGGTGCACCGGTGCATCCGGATACGCGCAAGAGAACGGTCAGGATATGCTGCAGGTACAGTGAGATAACTATACAGTTGCGGCACAGTAAGACAAATATATAGACAAGTGCGTGAAACGTGACACGATTCGAACGTATATGTATTCCGTAGGAAAGAGGAATTCTTTTTGAACGCGATGTTCTTTTTGATTTTCCCGTTCGCAATTTGCTGCCTCCGTCTGAAGAAGTCCTTTCGTCGACCCGCCCGACGACGGTGTTGCTCGAACGAATCTAAAGTAAGTATCTCCCTTCCTCCTTTCCGTCTTTATGTCGCATTGTCAAATGCATGGAGCAGAATTTCACGACGTAACGATCCTCATCCCCTTCCTTGCGGCGTGTCATCGTGTCTTTTCGTTTAGATCAGTTTGACGAGCGACGGGAGCGAACGTCCGAGAACGATCTGCGTAAGTACTTATGGCGATAACCGAGACTCGCGGATGGAAGCCGAGGACACCAAGTACGTGATGGACGAATTGAAGAAGTCAGAGGAATCGTTACGCAGTCGTATTAGAAGTAAAGTAAGAAATAAAAAGAGAAGAGCGAATAAATAATAGCAGTAAGAACAAATAGGTGAAGAATACGGACAATAGATTATATCTGCAACAAATCTATAGCTTTCTTTGTATGCTCTTTATAAAAATATGTAGAAATGGGGGGGGGGCCAGCCCGCTCAGAAGGAGAAAGAGAGAGAGAGAGAGAGAGAGAAAAGCCATTTTAGTGCTAAAAATTGTACATATAAAATATTTTGTTTGCTCTATTAAATTATTATTAGGAAAGCAAGTATATTTTAATTAAGATTTATAATATTAAACGTTATACATTTATCGTATTTAATATTTTGTAACTTATTTTCCATTTTTCTAAAAAACCAAATCATTTCTTTTGATCATTTTTTGAATTTTGCATGAAAATAATCACGTGTTAGTTTTGGTTATCGTGTATTAAGAACCCTTGGGAATCTAATTTATCGTTACGTTCCAAAAGTAGAATGTATGTGTATACACGTAGAGAGATTAGAGTGCAG